GTTTCTCAATACAGGCCTGAACATTATTTTTTATTTTCTACAATTGTTTACAAACAAAATATAAATAGCCCCGATTGTTCTCAAAAACTCGACTTTATGCGTTTCGAAAAGATACTGTTTAGGTTCAGGACTGTGACCAACTTGTCTTTCTCAAGAACGTTATTTAACTTAAGTTCAAATCAGTAGATTAAGTTTGGAGGAAATAAAATGTTTCATCGAGCGCAATCATTTGCAAAAAAAACAAATTTACTTCCCGTTAAAAAAGTTTCGGATGAGTTCATATAGTGTATATATAAAGATAATAATATGATTGTGAGTAACAATATTTGTTTTGTAAAAATGTTAATTTAAGTTATCACATTAAAGAATATTCAATAATATACCATACCCTATTAATTCAAACTGCATTACGCTTACGCATTACGCATTACGCATCATAAAAACCAATTTATTTTTTACTCCAGATCAATGCCTCTTATAGAAAAAGGCTGAAGCGCTATTTTTTTATATAACAAATTACACGGTAATTTTAAATTATTTTTATTTTAAGAAAAATCAGTGGCAAAAATAGTTCTGGGACGCGCTTCTTCACATGCCACCGGTACCACTGAATACGTTATAACTATAAATGTTTATCACAAAACGTACTGTAGTGAGCGCTTAAATCATATCGAACGTAAATAAAATATTCCACGCAGTATCCCTAATATTAATTATAAATGCGATTATTTAAAGGCAATTGTTCACAAACTCGTCTGCAGAATTCTACGTTAATTATTGATTCCTTAATATTAAGAAAATCTTGTACTATGAAATTCAGTAAAAAATGCGTCAATTAACCAACACTTTGAATAGAAAAATATTAATCGGAAAATACTGTTAAATTAATTCTCAAACTCTCTAAATATTCAAATTTCACCTGCAATGGATGCAACATAATGATTTCATTTCTGCGACACAGTAATCTAGACTTTATGTTGAATATGTTTAAAAATATTAATATAAACTAGATGATTTAAAATTTAAAAAAAATAGAATTCTAATATATTTGATAAGTTTATTACCTAGTTTTCTGAACAAATGGCGGGCAATACTTTGTGTTTAACAACATAGCATAATTGCTGCAGATTAAAACATATAAGCACAAAAACTTGTTAATTGGTCCAACTTCATAGTCTAAAATATCGCAATTCTTCGATTCTTCGATCTTGCGTTGCCTTAAATTTAAATAGTGTCTCCTAATGTGATAAACTGCCTCTCATACGCTATGCATGTGTGTAAGGTCCATGTATTATCGCATACTTTTATGCTATCAATCCAAGGTTGGCTTGGACATTAAATAGTATTTAACAAACAGACCATATTTTGAATTGTATGTTAAGTACGGGATTTATGTGGAATATGTTAATCTATGGGAAAAATTAAAAATAATCAGAATCAGTTATTCGTACCGAACCGCTTTAGTGTTCGATTGACTTCGGAATCGGAAGAAACGATACATTTTAAACCATCGCTACCCGAGTTTTGTTCTAAGAACATTAATTCTACTGGCGCGCCCAACTGTTACTAGATTTCGCATAGCTTTCATTTGTCTCACTAGACTTTATTTAAATGTGTTCCAGCACATAATATAATTTACATGTAATTGCCCAAATGTTAAGTAGAATATAAAAACTTACCTGAAATAAATTATCTTCAAAGTTTAATGTCGTTTTAAACTATGTATATATCAATTGATTCAACCCAATATAAACTGTGACACATTCTTTTATTAATTCACAATTACGGTAACATTTAAATGTATACATGTGTTAACAATATTTTATAAATAATCGGTGATATTACGAACGAATAAAAATCAATCGTTAAATTTCATGCAGATTTCAACAGATTTAGTGAATACTGATCTACTAGTTATCAAGTTGTTTTAGTCATAATTTAAAGAAATGTTAAAATTAAAATCATTTGTAAACAGTTAAAATGCGTATTAAAACAAAATGATATACTTTAATAAACTTTGGTTATTTAAAATGCGCGTAACAAGTAATAAACGAGATGAGTATAAATTGTACGAAACTAATTAGTGAAGCATGCAGCCTTCATATTACACAACATTGATAAGTTAATCTGAATAATATTTCGATTTGTAAAGCATAGAACTTTTTTGTCATGAACTATTTAAAAATAGTGAAAATAAACATTACTGAGTTATTTTCCAATTTGCCACTATATTCCAAATATTTCGTGTTTTGATACGCATTTTAACGTGTGGGGTATATGAATCAATACGATAAGCAACCTTATGTATGTCATGATGTCTTTTTGATCAATAACATGACCGACTATAATAAAAACATGCATCAGGGTCTGCCTCTTTCAAGATATAACTTATATAATAGTTTAATTGAATTCTTATCATACAGTTGTTACATCTAATGTATTGTCATTAACCAGATAAATATAGTTCTCGCACAAATTATACTAGGTGCCGCAAGAATAACTACTGGGATATATTTTGCTATTCAATGAAGTCTAATTTATTTTAATTTATTGCAAATATTAGGTACTACGGTTACTTAACATTTTAATAAATTCATAACAGTTGTCTTATATTTTCTATATTAATTTACGTATTGAAATGATTGAGGTTGTATGTTGTATTAAACTAGGCTTTTTCAAATCTCACTGTAACAATGTATCTGGATTTTCATCATCAGCAACCGAGAAACATGAAGTTAATGTGCAATGGAAAACCAGATTTAAACGGAAAAATAGTTCAAAATGAATTAGACGTTTGCTCAATGAGCATGAACTAATTTGAAAGAAATCTAAAGAAAAACAAAAATCAAACAATAGGCTTAATAAAACTCAACTCAACTCAACAACAAACTCAGTGAGTGCCATTTTTTTTATGAGACACTCAAAAATCTGAATTCTATTATCAAACGCAAATTGATTAAGATTTTCAAGGTTATTTCTTTTGTGATCTATACATATATTTGTAAAATAATTTGATACTAAATAATTATGTGGAATGAAGGCAAAAAGGCCATTGAGTCAAATGTTCGGTGCGTAACATTATTGTCAAGCCAAGCTTTGAACATGTTTTACACCAAGCTTGAGGAGTTACATAAAAATACATCTATAGGCCATTATGGTCTCTAACATATCCCAGTATAATTTGTTTATATTTTATCTGGCATTAATTTATACACAATATAAAATGCTAGCAAATTGTCATTTGATGATACTTGAAATTATTTTATAATGGTAGCTAAAATGTCCTATCAAGACATCAAGTTAACGAAATACTAATTAACATAATCATGGATAAAATTTATTTATATTTAACAGTTTTACAATTTCAAAAAAAGCTCAAATTTGACAACCTTTTAAATTTTAGAGTCTAGCACGATATACAAGCCTGGTTTTAGATGTTCTTTACTTAAAGCTTCAATCGTTTAGGCCATCCGACAATAGAAGTTAAAATATACATATCTATAAATGAACTGCTTCAGCTCTTTGAGCCCGCTTGATTTAGTCGGAGCTTTTAGTGAAGAATACCTAGAGCCGCTGTAAAAACACTAGAGTATTTAATTTCTATTAGACGGTATGTTAATATATAATACAATAAACTTCGGCAGAAAATCTACATTAAATAACATCAACAGATATTTTCTTTAGGTTATACATATATTCTTGTTCAACATTGAGTTCCCTTATTATGCAATATCATGTATGTAGTTGTGTAAAAGGCTGAATCCGTGTTTTAAAAGTGGTTAATGATTCATTATTTTCGTTCTAATACACAACTACGGAAATAAGTTTCACATCATTAAAATACTCAGCAATTTTCTCATTTAGCATTTCCGGGGTTAGAGATACTGTGATTTTATAAAATTTATCCAAACCCCCAGATATAATCGTGTGTGACGCATTCACAGTATAAACAACAATAAACTATAGCTCTACATATTCATATTAAAACTAATCTAAAGATTCTAAAAGAATATATACAACTTAAATTTTGAGTATGAGTAATCTCAATAATTGTAATTGTCACTTGTTACACTTACAAAGCATACGGGAAACAAATATTGTTTCTCAATAAACTTTGCACATAAACTAAATCAAACATTCAACTGCACATCTTCATTATAATACAATTATTAAAAAATTTCAAATTTTTTTACACAATCATTTTCTCAGTTATTTACAAATCGCAACTAAATATTTAGGAAGATATAGTATGTAGGTTGAAATATCTGAAGACAATCAAATCAGTTCAGAATTGTCAAATACAATTTTATAATTCCATACCTATAAAATTAAATGCGATATCACTAGCATATTTCAGTGCAGATTTATTTTACTACGTCATATTCTTCAAAGCATGTGCTGCAACAATAATTGGCAAATCGAACTCCTAACATGCTACAGTAAGGTAAAATCTGCACAATAATTATTTAGATAGTAATATGGCTTTGCTAACTATTCCAGTGCAGTTGCAGAAACGTACCCAGTACTATGCATTTTAAACAATCAATACCATTCTAAATCAAAATCAAACAATAATCTCTTTTGTGATGTTGAGGAATCATGAGAAATCAACGTATCAATTATTTAAGTGTGTTTATCCCAAATAAGCTCAATATCACTCAAATAAGCCGAATTCCTCTAAATTTGATTTACTAGATTCGCAATAATGCTGAAATATTATATTTTTATTTTATTTGTTTTTATATTAATTTCAATTCAAATCATCGACTTCACTAACTGACACTGATACAGACTGATAATTATGTGAGCAATAGCTTGTAATTGTATTACAAAATTTCCTCGATATGAAACAATCGCGGTTTCAAAGTATATAATTTCGTTTCATCAGCAGTCGTTATAGTAGTGTTTGGATTTAATTTTACTATTTATTATGTATTGAGAATCTCATAGCCATCGATACTATTACTAAAAACCAAGAGGATTATAAGTGCCTAACTGTCCGATTCTCATAAATCTTGCACAAATTCTTAGAAAAATTAGAACTCCTAACAAAGACGAACATTTTTGTAAAACTTGTCGCTAACGGACTGTATATGCTATAATACTCAATACATTTCCATCAGATCGGACTAGACATCATATCACTAAGTAAATATATTACTTAAAAAATAAAGTAAGAAACAAGTATATGTAGGTGTTTGGTTTGTTACCACGGGTACGTTACTGTACAGTCGTTAAAAAAATATTAATATCAATAATAACAAAAAACAACTATACTTAGGGCAAGTAACGATTCGAAATTATATAAATTGAAAAGAAAACAATCTAAGGGGTTGTTGTTCAACGTGAAGGACTAACGATATACAGATTTATGGAAGTGGCACGTCCACTTTCACGTAGTTAACTGGGAAATATCCGGTACGGCCACCAACACTACCTTCAAACCAATTCTCATCAATTTTGTTTAGAAGTGTAATAATATCGTTTTCCTATAAAAAAAAACAAATTATTAATGTAGAGTCGCGTTTTATATTTATCAACTTACCTTGAAACTTAATTCACCCGGATTTTCAGCATCAAAATCGTAAAGAGCTGTGCAACATGGCTGTCTAGTCATTGGAGTCCTGGCAGGAGATTTCATGGGGGACGGCAATGGAGATGCTAATGAGAATCGAACATTGATAAAAATTGACAAAGCCAAGGGTTCCTATAAAATTTAAAAAACAATTGTACACAATATCTAATCACCACTGGTTTGTACCTTTTGAAGACATTTTAGTATGAACAGGAAATTGTATTGCTCAATAACGTTAAACATCCACGTATTGACTAATGGATAGGTGGAAAAGTATAAATATTTTGTGGTATTATTTATTTTATCGCTGCCCTGCTTTGTTAGAGAAATGCAATACATTAAATCCAGTTTTTTAAATTATGGTTACATACTTTAATATATTAGATATGATTCAAAAGTGCCGTCATTCCCTCGGAGGAGCTATAAAGATTTACTTGAAGAAAACATTGGACTGGATAATTCTTTGCTGGATATTGACACTTCAAACTGTGATGATATGTTTTATTCATGCATCATTTTCATTAATTTGGTTGAATTCATTTCACAACTCGAGTTAAAGTTAACCCTTCCAACAGAAAAATTGGGATCATTTGCAAAAATATTCGCAGAATATGCTGATGTTAACTGAATACTTTTCAGTATATGCCATAGAAATAATTATTGCCTTAATTAAGTGTTTACGATCTTGAATATATACATAGTGTTTTCTGGAGCACTCTTATGCCAAGCTCTGGTATTTAAAAATGCTTTATCGCGAGAAAAAGGCTAGTAGCAAACCAATTGTGTTTTCCACTCGCATTTCCAGTCCATATGTTAGTTAATAACAATTTTTATGTCTTTTTATATTTTATTTTTGTCTTTTTTTGTTTATAACTTTGAAGCTAATGGAGCAATCCGACTGCTCTAATGAGATAATTTCTAGAGAATAAAAACATCTACAAAATGTCGAACGCCTCAATCAGACAATTAGGTTCTGAGAAATTTAGGTAAAAACCGAAAAATTGGGCGTTTTTTCGAAAATTCATAGTTCCGTAATTTTTTGAGCTGGAGCGCTAAAATTTTGAGCAAAAGTAGGAATTATAATGTGCGGGCGGATGCTCTCAAAGTATCAGTTTTCTCAAAATGCGAAAGAAAATTCAGTTCGTCTTTTTCCGGCAGGCCTGTTACCGTGAGTCCAATTATAACTTAAAGAAACAAATAATAACAAAAATGCTATACCGCTTGACCTATCTGATCGAATAGCAACAGCAGGTTTTTTAACTGAAATATACTACGCTTTAATGCGCTGTTTAATACAAAACGATAGCGAATAGGCGCTCCTTTCCTTCACTAAGCGTAGCCGTGCAGATGAATTGAAATTGCGACAAAAAAATTGATCTCTGATTTTATTTCGCCGGTAATAAATTAATTTATTCACGAAAACACAACTGTCTCAAAAAAATATGTTTGAGACGATAAACAAATATATAACATAAACATGTTTTGTGTAGGTTAGCGAATAAATAAAATACTTAATAATTCCGCATACAAAAGTTTAAGGAGAAATTTAAGTCATATTTTAAAACATATTGTTAGTAATTTGAATGCATTATTTTAGAAATAATTTGCTTTCGAATTAAAGGTTCCTGAAATAGTGCATAGCTGATAGTTTGCACTTTGCATTTGAGTCAAATTACATATTGTCGCATTTGCAGGAAATGTACTTTATTCATAAAAAAAATACTATGCATCGTCGTAAAACAAATGTCCATGACAAATTAAAAATAATAATTCAATTTCTCTTTTTGCGAGCACCAATCATCTGAAATTGAACCTTTTAAACCAGGAGTGAGCAACCTTTTTAATCAACGGGCCAATTTAAATTATAAATTTTTTTGGCGGGCCGCACATAAAGCAACACTTATTAATAATTTTTCAAACTTTATCTATAATAAACATAGAATGAAATTAAAAAAAAATATTTCGTATACAAATTTTAATGCAAAATAAGAACAAACAAAAAAAGAACCAAAAAACGAATTTCCTTGAAATTTTTTGTGCGAAATTTGGCACTGCTTTTCCGATACAAGCTGATCAATATCAGCTGGAATTGATGACCTAGCGACACGGACACAGTGGTTGAATGGTTCATGGTTGAAAATAATTAATCGCAAATATACGTACTTCCGAACAGAGACATCATTTGCTTTGCATTTTTGGACAAAAGCGGAAATTTTTCAGGGCTCACATAAGATTTATCAAAATTTTCGATGTTTACTGAGAAAAATACGGGAATATTCTGCATATCAATCACTTCTATTTGAAAGTTTTCGGGAACTGTATCCACATCGATACTCAATGGCGAGGAAAACATTTTCATGGAAACCGCTTTCATCTTCTCAGCTTTGAACATTTGGATTCGTAATTGAAATTCGTTGATTAAAATGTCTATATATTGTGCGCATTTTTGAGAAGTAAGGTTTTCGATTTCTAAATGTGGAAAGTGAGACACATTATTCTGCATAAGATGTCTCACCGACAAGTGAGTATCTCGTAACAAAAAATCGTGCAGACGGGGCTCGTTTGTTTTGCATATTTGAACAAGTCGCCGACAAGTGAGCAACTCGTCGAAAAAAATTGTTTCGGTTTAGTATGTACTACCATTTTATCATAATTCATTTTATAACAATATAGCTACTGATGGGAGAGTCGATAAAAGAAATTAAATTTAAGAAATGCTTGGCGGGCCGCACAAACATATTTAACGGGACGCAAGCGGCCCGCGGGCCTGGTGTTGCTCATCCCTGTTTTAAACTATTGTTATTGTAGTTTAACCGAAAACCAAATTTTATTCATAAACAAAAAAATAACAAATCGGATCACTGACAAAAATAAAATTGGCGATTTTTTGTAAAGTTAGCTTCGTTCGATTTGAATGTAGAATAGTATCTATACATATACTATTTAAATTACATGTAAAATTAGTATTATTATTATTATTCACTTTACAGGTCACGCAGTTTTTCTTCTCTAAAAAAAGTGTGACTCCGAAAACCACTGACTTTTAATGCAACCTTCAGATAATAAGTCTAATGATTTTTATAGAGCTCTAAGAAATGGAAATGTTCTTTGGGGTCGAATTTCCCAAAGAAAAAGCCAATTGGCAATAATAAAAACATCAGAAACACGTATATTTTCCTTTAAGATTCTATTAGGGAATATCGCCACATTTATTTCCCCACAGTATAACTAATAACATACAAAATCCATTGTATTGTGCGTTAGGGAGACTTGATTGTTGCAATAGCATCGCCGACATTTACTAACTAACAAAACAGGGGCGAGCTTCAAAAGATATTCTCAATGAAAAATTCATCCTTCTCACCCATGCATGTCCGGGTTTACAGCGAAGTGTTTGCTAAAACATGAGCGGTAGAAAACCACTCTATTCTTTAAACATTCAACAGGCAGTGTTAGGGAACAGTGTATGTGAAATTTATCGCAAACCGCTCAAAACATGCATACGAAAGCAAAGCATATGATCTAACTCTATCAAGCTGATTAGTGACTGGAAACTGGAAACAAGGCATATTTTGCGGTTTTGTTCCGCAAATAAAAATGTATAATATTAGCCAAATTATACCGCACAGTAAATGACATACACAAGTATTAAAAAAAAGTCTTATCAACCATTCCTGAGAAATGTAATCGACTGCATGCAAAGCAACTCGCACATTTTCGGGTCTTTGTTTTCAATGACTTAATGAAGTAGTTTGTATTGTTTTTGCGTAATTTGGGCTCCCTAGTGGCAAAAAATTTATTTCACTACTAATGGCGATTAAAAATAAATATGGACAATATTTGCAAATTACTAGCTGCAAACTGATTCAGTGTAAAGCAGATTCTAAAAGGTGCGAGTCAATTGGGCAGCAAAAGTTACCATTGGCGGATTGCTGTCCAGGATGCAGTTCGAGCTGCTGTGGCTTATGTTGAGGAGAACACAGTTGCGAAGAGCCTAGTAACACATCTTTGTCAGAACAACAACCCAAGCAGAGAGATAGAAAGGGAAATCGGGCTTGCAGCGATCCCATTGTGCTAGTAACTGTGTAGTTAAGTACTACCCCTCGAATTACTTATTTGATTACAAATGCCAATCCACTGTACGAGGGTAGGACCTAGCTGGTTTGATACATCAAAAAGTAATTAAATTTACACACACAAACACGGGTAGAAGATGGAATACTAATCACCGCGACGTAAAATCGATTTGATTAAACTACGCCTTCGCTGATATAAAACTGAGTGTTAGTGGTTTAAAATAGCTCAAAACGGAGGCAATGATTGGATATCAGCCAATAAGGTGTTTTGTTTTCCTTACCTATTTCTGAAATACGCAAAAAACAGCGTCTCAACACTTATTTATACCTAATAGATCTTAATCATGTTTTTAATTCTGGATGCATTCAGTGTAAATAAAGCCAGCTGTTCAGCCAGAACGAGAATTCACATGTGCGTTATACCTATGTAATGCTATAAAAATAGAACAACGAGAAAATGTTATATCAGCAAAAAGCAATATTTTAAACCCGCTTTTTTCCAAGTTAACGTTTTCGTTTCACTTAGTTTTAATTTTTTTTACTGTCGTCATAAAAATTTTGTATCTTCAATAAAGCAGTGTTAGTATAACTATAACTTAATAATCAACGAACATAGGGTTAGTAGATTTAGAAATCTGGAACTCCATTTGCCATTACTTACTAACACTGGAATCTAAATCAAAAGTTAGAAGATCTGTAGTTGCATCTAAATAAAAAGAGATAAATCCATGACATTCATTCTATGGCCACAATAATCTTTAAAGACATAGATAGACACCAAGACACAAGGTCCCGACGGTATTGATTCATCTGTAAATTGATTTTATTCCGGTATAATTTTCCATAAAAATGTTTGAAAATGTTTTCCAAATTTTTATCAATTCATAATTTAAATCAACTTCTCCCAATAACAAGAAACCAAAAGTATCAGGGCTCACGATACGTAACACTTTTAGAAACACGAATTTCAATCGATGAAAAAATATCATCAAGATCACCTGAAGCTAGTAATAATATGCGAAGAAAACACTAAGAAATGAAGAATACGGAAGCAACTTTCTTGATGTCCTGATCAAATGTTTTTAGCAAAACGCGTATTGTGTCTCACTAAAAAAATATATTGAAGGACCTAAAACACCTTAATTGCGATTTTGGAAATTTTATATCACGCTGACAGCAAAACTTTAACCCCCGAATCAAGTTTTCCGCAAAATTAAACATTTTGGAATTCACTAAAATACACTCCTAAACTAACTTAATAAATATGCTTTAATTAATTCTTTTAACTTATTGCGGACTGAAATTATGCAAAGTTATCAAAAACAACTAGAGAGCACAACAAGCATAAGAAACTAAACATGCCTTCATCTTTATGATAAAGGTCCGCACTTCAAACCGAGCACCACTCTAAGCCCCGAATAATATATCTGCTTTTCAACTAAATGTGGCACCAATTTCAAGCGATATTTTTTCAAACCGTTTCTTCTGCAAAAATATATAATTCCAATTTAACTTATTTTTAAAATAAATAAAATCCAGATATATATTTTTTTCCTGTCGGCCCAAAACGAAATAAAAGAAAACGTTTAGGGCTTTTAGATCGCAATCGTAAAGACGCGTATTTTTAAGAAAACGAGCATTGAGAAAGTTGGTTCAACAAAAATCAGGAGTTATTGACGTTAAAAATGTAGAATTAATCGGTGTTTCCTTGGCATACTACTGCAAACTTTATTTAACTGTTAGTAAAAATGTCAAGTCACAAGCAATTAATATAAGAAACCAGCCACCCAGAAGATGAAAACAAGCTGTTCCCAGTGATTGGAAATGAGTGGAATGGTAAGGAGCCAACAGTAAACAATACACTTATAAGTCAAATAAAAACATAAACGAAACCTGAAACTTAATATAATAAAATAAACGTTTTTTTATAAAAATCAGCCAACAAACGTTTGTTAATTTCAGGGAGCCGCAGAAGTACTAGAATCTATGTTACGAGAACAAAATCAGAATAAAATAAACGAAACCAAAATAAAAATACCTTCGGAAAAACTCCAAGGATCAAAAGGATCGGGTGGTGGCATTTGTTTAATTGGCACCGTTTTAGGTGCAGGTCGTCGAAATTCGTTAACGCCATTGGTGGGTTGATTCTTATGGCTTTGACTATATGAATTACTCGTGCTGTGATTATTGGATAGATTAAAATGATTCGAGTTTGTACCGTTATATCCGTCGGAAATAGCAGTCACACCCTCTATGTTCAAGTCCGATAGAGTTTTTGGTACGAACTCTACCTTAGGACGATTTGCAGCCTCTTCTCTCCTAGAAGCAATCAGGAATATGTTAAAAATGTAAGTATTTTTCAATGATTGTTGAATAAATTTCCAAGATATTGTCAATTTTTTCACAATGATTATTGATTCCAATTGTAGATATAAATATATAAAAATTGTCGCCAGATTGGTTAATACGTACACGCGATTTTGTCATCGTGTATTGATGCTGGTTCATACTGCACGTAATTTATATAATTTTTACTATGTGTATGTAAATGCAGTTGATTTACACCAATTCAAAATTTAAGGTCGAAAATGTATTTACTCAGTAAGGAAATAAGAATAAAAATTGGAAACTATTCTAATAATAACATATTTATCATACTTACTTTTCTTGAAGGGTTTCAGTGAGAGTTTTAAGAATATCTGTGCATTGGTTATGATAATCAAGTAAACCTTCTGCGAATGTTGCTAATTGAGATATTTGCTCTACCTGAAAAAAATCATTTGTCTCTCTAAATCAGGAATTTGCAGTAACGTAAATGTTAGCAAAATGTTGCAAACAATAACTATTAGCCTATAGATTAGAACATTCTTTCAATTCATTTATTCATTTGATTCGTATAGAAGTAATTACTTTTTCGCATCGCTAAGTCCGATGAAAACTCATATAGATATTTTGAAAGAAAAGCTGAAAGTTATAAGCTGATTTTCTTTTGCTTGACTTGATATTTCGCAATCAATCATTCTCAAACAATCGTTATGCCCTAGCTAAGCTGCACGCCGCAAAATTATGTGTCGTCTTTTTCGAATGAGTTCTATTTATAAAACATTTAAGATGTATCAATCTATTCCGCGACAATTGCTCATCCAATTCTAAAATGTCTAAATTCATATTTTCCAATACTGAAAATAATTTGCACGTTAAAAATACTGGCTAAGAGAAATAAAAATAATTATAATACATTTCTATTGCTAAGTGCTACTTTACATTTATCTTATTATTAAATATACTTTTTTTCTTTTGCCCACTTACACTTACGTCCTTATAGGTGCACGAAGAAACGGGTTCATAAATATTAAATTGCTTATAAAAGTATATTAGAAAATAAATGTGTCTAAAATATTATAGGTAAGCAAGATTTCTTTACTTCCAACTTGTATTTAAAAAATAATGAAAAATTGTAAATTATTTATCTTAAAACAAGTTCATTGAGTCAGTGTAACACTGCATAAATGTAATAAATTTTCAATATTATAGATTTCCAAATTTAGTTCCAAATTAGAAAGATATAGAAATAGAAAGTACAGAAAGAATCCAAGATACTTACATCATTTTCTAATAAGTTGAACATGCCCATTTGAGCAAGATGCAGAGATTCCGCGAACTTTTCCTCGGCTGCTTTGATTTCATCATCTGCAATATTTGATCCTGTTAGGTAGTTAACAGGTCAAAATAAAAAAAAACATGCAAAATTAAAAAAATATATTAATCTAAGTATAGTAGTAAAGTAAATGTATATCTTAACAATAAATAGAACAGAACAGGCAAAGCAACAGCTACAAGTCGAGCTGGCATTTTTTTCTTCATCCTTATTTAAGCATTATCAAAATTTTAAATCTGTTACTGATATTTAAACCGTAATTAATGCGAATCTGTTCAAACAACTAATAAATAATTAACGTGTAATAAAGTGCGCTTCCAAGGTATTAAATATGTTTTGGATCAGAGTCTGGTAATTTGACGAAATTTATAATGAGTGGAAAATATTTTTTCACGATGTCCGCAATGTTTATAATTCTGCCGCTACATTGAGATGTACTTATTAGTAATTGAAAATAAATCTAATCTTCAACAGTAATCGTGTTCCTTTTGGCTTTACAAAAATGGTTTTCATATTTTCAACTTAATTAATCTATACGTAAACTTAGGTATATTATTAAATCATGATTGTTTTCTACCCGCCGGCATAAATGAGAAAACATAGCAAGTATGTGTGTTGAAATTAAAGTAGGGTTGTGAATTTCAAATCTCTTTAGTGCACGAGCACGTTTGCACATAACACTTGAGCTTATATAGACCGCATCATCCAGAATATGAGGGAAAAGTAAAGCAATCTTAGTAGAATGAGGTCATTACAAATGTAGATTTCCTTTTTCAATTCAAAAACCCCCCAACATATTATGTTTACTGGTTGCAATTTGTGCTAGCTTGGTAGTTATTTAGTAGGCGAATAATAACATTAGCATAACAGTTGACATCCACTATTATTCATAATTTGATTTTTGCGCGTTTTAAGTATTTTTTATTTATTTGATACAGTTTAATTATTCAAATACGAAGATTCATAAAAATGATATTAAGTGCTCAAAACTCTCTTGTAAGTCTAAACGTCACATAAATTCCATTAGTAAAGTAATAGAACAAAGAATCCTTTTAAAAAACTCAGAGATTATATTTATTTTTATATTTTTATCTTTGGAGAGTTTAATCCATTGTACGTCAAGTTCAGCCGAGATATAAAACATCTTTGAGGTGAATTTCTATTCAAGATTTCATTTCGTATTATAATACAATTTAAGAACGATTCCGGACATGAAATTCGTGGACCACTACAATAGAAAACAGGGAAATTTAATATACCCTTATAAAAATACAAATTAAATTTGTGCAATATCTTATGAGACATACTGTCTAACTTCGATTGGAAAAAAATACATTATATATTTACAGTATCTCATTACTGCTGAGCATATACCGGGTGTCCCAAATGTATACGAATACAGAAATGTTCGTACTATTTACTTCTGGGTGATTTGAGATTAATATTTACATTTACCTGGTAAAATTTGCGTTTCATAAAATACACATGAATACTAGAAAGAATAGGTGCCTCACTAAAGTGGTGACCTATTTGTCACTCATACTCACTTTAGAAACTTTATACTGGGTATTGTCAAATCCATGAAAACTACTTAATTCCCTATTGATTGGGCCAAATGCTCTTATGATTCTCTGCAAAATATTGATGTTAAAATGTCTAATGCGTATTAAAAAAATGATGAACATGGCTATAAGTAGATTTGACAATAACAATTTTCAGTTATTTGAGGAACGTTTTCACTTATTTGAAAATAATAAAAATTAAATTTTGAAATAGATATTATATGGAACACAAATTACAATTGTTAATTATACGGCGAATAATCAAACGCCATTAGGCTGATTTAATGAAAGCTGCTTGGAATCCTTCATTAATTAACCAATAATGAAGATATCGAATATCAACTGGCGGATACGCAATTTAATATATTTCAAGTAAATTACACTCGGAAGCGGAAATCCCTACAAATTCACGTCTCCCCTAAATTATTCAATATCTACTCAAACCCATCAGGGTCAAAGAGGAACAGCGAAAGGAGATACATTTTTTAGATAGATATAAAATATTGATGTAATGGATGTTCAGCTAAAGAGCACTGCATTAAATAAAGTAACGCGTAAAGCCTTAGACGTATATCCCAAACGCCAAGTTTGTGTTTATAAGGCACACGTCCCATAAATTGATTAAGCTAGTTTTTTTTCCATGTAAATAAAATTGAAATTTAGTGGTTTAATTCTACTGGTAAAAGCAAAATGACTTATTATTGACTTAAAAGCCAATAATAATAATATACAATCAGTACAAAAAATAATTTCTAAAAATCATCGCATACAATTTTTTGAAATGTACAATGTTAAATGCATATTCAACAGGATTTTAAATAAACGCTTTACCCCGAATTTCCTAGGGAGATTTTCGTTTATTTGATCATTTTCGTAGTTCGTTCACTTCTAATACACACACTAAAATGTTAAAATTACTTGGAAGACAATATTGTTTGGAGGTAATATACATAAGAGAAACAATGATTTTGATATCAAACGCATTTAAATAATTATTAATTTAAAAAGATTAACTAAATGGTTTAAAAGATTCAGATCAGAATAAAATAATGATGATGTAAAATTAAGTGAAAAGCAATTAAATTTTTGTTTCAGTAAAGATATATCGGTACCAAAGTTAAATTTTATAAACATATTTCTACTAGAACATAAAATAAAAAACCTCGATTTCTTAAGAGGCCTTTTTATTATAACTGCCTTTTCAATTTGCCGGTATTTTAATCCATTTTCGAAGGTAAAATTTCAAACGCAATAAATTTCAATGGTAAGTTTTATACAACATGAGATAACACCTCAAACAATGTACAATTGTATTAGGTCTGATAACAAAAAAATTCAACATCAAACAGACCAAAACATTCAATAATGAATTTCGACATTGTATTTTCAATTATGGTATGTTTTCCAAAACCGATGCACAATTAGCTGCCCTTCGAGTTAAAGTGCTCATTAGTGAAAGTGTTCAAACATTTTAATAGTTCAATTTCTACACATATAATTTATATCTACATGCTAGGCGAATAATTTTGTAACGTCCGGCCCTCTAATTGTGGTGGAAACTAAACATTATTATTAAATATACGACTTTATCTAGGAATGTGTGATTAGATTTTTGAACATTGCAAATATGGCGAAAATTACTGAGTATATATTTTTAAATATTATGTTAATTAAAGTTAATGTATCAGAAGCGCATATAATATTGATTTTCTGATTTTACCAGGACAGCGACTATATTTTAGGTACCAATAAAGCGTGAGTAGATTAACAGAAAAATTCGATAACTTGGTACTTTAACTGGAAAAAATAACTTTAACTAAAAAAATTTATTTCATAATTTAAATTTCAAGGAGTCCTGTATTTTGACCCTCCAAAGGTTTCAAATTTTTGTATAGTGTCCGAGTGTATATTAGTATTGCATCAAATAAACTGATTCACTGTAACATCGTGGAATTCGTCTAAAATTGCTTTACCTTGAAAGGTACGCATTTATTAACTATATTTATGTCGAATTATCAAATAAATATATGTATACACCAACTGAAAAATATTTCATTGATTTCTAACCGAATTAACGCCGATACACACTCATCGCCAATGTGAAAAATTCAAGTTGAAAAATATTTTTATTTCAAATTTTACCGAGCAATAATAAATCGATCAATGCACGTACAACAAGCACTTATACTGTACCCTCAACTTTACGAATTGCATAATATTTGCGTGTTCAAACAAGCGTGTGTACAATTTTAAAATAATATTAAACATTACATACCATGAGCGTTGCCCTGGACCTTTGCAGGGCTTGAGTAAGGACTTAATCCTTTTAAAGCTAAGTTAGAACATGCAAAAAAACAGAAATAAACTTGCATGCTTATTGTTATACTATAAACATAATTAATTCGTAATAAATACCATTATATTTGTGGAAGGCAATGGTTGAAAAACGCAATTATCTTAAATAACTACAGATTCGTTAAATAACAGTAATTAAAAGATGTTACTGAAATTCCTGATCGCTGTTAATTAATTATTTAACCCAAACCATTTTATGTAATCGACGGAACAAATTCAATCTATGTACACAATCCGAATTTTAGCAGCAAAAATTCGTAAGATAATGGCGTAAAAATCGCCAATTCTATCCGCTATTATAGTACTATTAACTCTTTTCGGTGTCACAAGCTTAATGTAGTTACGAAACCCTAACACTTATTTATGTACTTGTATTACTGTTATGATGGTATTTATTATGTAGTGATTAATAGAAATAATTTTGAAAAACTGTACCTTTTGCCTGCCTCCTACGCTTGCAGTCAAAATCCAGTCGTCGACCTTGTAATTTCTTCCGATGATGCTGGAAGAAGTAAAAAATATAAAATTTAAAAAAATCCAAATACATTATTAATCAAGACTTACTATAACTTCCTTCAAGTCTTTGGTCTGAAGATGATGAAGAGGTTCCAGAAAGTTCTGTTTAATGTTATCATCTAGCGAATACTTCACATCCGCCATTTGTTTGAGTGCCTCGCCCATTTCAACTAAAGCATTGCCGAACATGCTGTCATCACCTAATTTTCTACCATAAATTAACATGCAGTCTCCAAGAACTCCTTCTGGCTGCGGGTATGTATTGGACTTTGCTTGTCCACTTAATTTACTGATCCCTTTTACAGCCGCCATCTTGGCTCGAGCAGTAGGATTAGGTTGCAAAAATTCTTTTGTTTTAACTTGTAGCTCTTCGACTAATTCAACTGTCACGTCCGTTTTCTAAGAGAAAAAAGACTAAATGTACCACACGTAATTTGAACAAATCTATTAAGATTGGCGGATATTCGAGATACTTCGTATGTGTTATTTTAATTTTTCTGAATTCTCAACGCTTTGAGAAATACCGGGGTACCTTTTTGTAACCAGAGGACAAAATAATTTAATAATTAGCAACTTGACTAGAATAAGAAAAAAATTGCTGATTGCCAATTCAATGTTTCTCAACCTCGACATTTGGAGTATTTTTAATTGTGTTTTATTTATGATAAAAAAAAACACGAGTTCAATGTATCCAAACGAAAAATACACAGGCAGCATTTTTGTGTATGGATATTGCCACGAAAATACCACCAACTCGATGAGGGAATACTAACAAAGATATTCGAATTGCCGTCTTCCGGCTTGTGAAATGGAATTGTGAAAGGGACGTTGGGCGAAGAAATAATGCTGCAGAAGCTGAAGTCGCTGACAAATAATTCTGGTACAAAAAGAATTTCTGCACTTTCTGAATAAAGTAAGTCACCCTATCATTACCAAACGGTACAAGAAATTCTCCCACCGGAGTTTCCTCAAAGAGTTCAACGTTATGAATGGTCTAGTCGTTCAAGAAACCTTTTCTGTACCGATCTATGTTCACACAAGATATAATCAACAAGTTCCACAATGAGCATGAGTGGCCAATCGAACACCCTCATGCTATTCGCGAAACCTATTTTCAAGCAGGATTTCGTTTGGGCTGGAATTGCTAATAATGGAATTTTGCCGAGCGTTTTTGGAGAACGCTTTACCTCTAATACTTGAGAACATTTCCATTCAAATTGAATAAAACGATAATCTTTTTAATTGTTTTGGAATAGTTCTGATGAAGAGTTGGAAGATAACCTGTTTTGGAAGAGCAATTTCGTCAATGCAAATTATCCAAACCCAAACATAAATCGTGGTGATCCCGCTGCTTGATCACCGCGATCTCCAGACTTCAACTCGTTGGACTTTTCCATATGGGAAGATGTAAAAACAATAACTTATTCAGTGGAGAATTCAGACATAGTTCGATGAGGTGAAAAACGATATGGAAAAATATAGCTGGAACCGGGAGCTACTACGCAGAATAGATTTATAATCCACTGCACAAACCGGCGTTCACATCGACCAGCTTTAGTAACAATTAAACTGTCATTGCGCCATTAAAAAATAATAATTCTAGCCTACTAATAAACTTGGTAAATTTAAATACACGATAATTCATGAACCATTAAGAATTTTATAAAAATGAAAAGAAAAAAAATTACTTAAAATTAGTAAAAAAGTATCTGGAATATCTTTCTATGAGCTGATGAAAGCACAAACATTCACAAAGCAACAATAAAATCCCAACCAACTGCCTTCTCCTGTTAAAAAAATTAAATTTTTGTTTTGTTTTAGGTTGCTACTAACTTTTATTGTTAATAAATAACTCAATGATCGTTATCTGACAATGTTTCAGTCAAATCAAACAAGCATTGGTGGGATAATGCGGTATGAGCTTTAGATAACAAATGCACATTGCAATTTTTTTTCTTTAATTTCTAAAAATATGACGTTTGTTACAGACACTAAACTTATCAAGAAATTGCGAAGTTTTCTCAGACTTGCTTTATATGATCTTCGATGTGACGGTTGAACTTTTACAATATGTTAAATTTGCGTATCAACCTTGGATTATCTGACAATGTTCAAGAAAAAGAGATGAAAAATCTATATTCTTAAGAACAGCGCTAAACGCTGTTTTTGCACTATCTTGTTCCTAAGACAATAACTCTTAGTCCAAAGACCATAAAATGTGTTTTATCGTTGATAACATCAGGAAACAATTGCACATAAATGTTTCAATGTACTGCAAAACAATCAATGTTAACAAATGATAACGTTTTTTTAATGCTATTATATAAAACAAGATATTTTATACGGTAACTGGAGTATACATACACCTACTTTTATATTAAAATAAAATTAACGAGCGGATTAAAATTGAAATTCAACTAAAATGTTGCAAATGAAATAATCCTTTCCATAGGAGATCATATTCCATAAATCAGTAGGAGATAATTATGAGCTATATGTATAAAAACGTCCCCTATTTTAGGTATTCTGAAACTAAAACCGCACTAAAGAAATATATTGTTCAACATTTTTAAAAACATGAGTTTATTTCTAGGCACAATAAAATCGATGACAATATTTCCATTTTTATAGAACCACCAATATATAAATGCACGGATTTGAAAAATACTGCCTTGCGTGTCAATTCTTATCGGAAACATATTTGTAGATAAAACACCTTATGCATAATATAGAGTTAATAACACTTTTGTTACATTCGGCGTTTTAATATAATTTTATTGTATTATAGCGCTTTGCCTTCGTTAAAAAATCTGTCCGAGATCGACAAATTGTGTGATACAATATAGAATGCGGACGACAGGGTTTAATAAATTTAATTGCAAAACTCTTTTTAGACAATAAAATCAAGGCTCTTTATTGCCAAAGAATATTTTAAAATTTCTGGATAATTTGATCAGTTTTCAAATGTTTACTAGAGTTGACTCTGATAAGAATTAATACTTTTTTAATCCTATCAATTCGGTCACGCTGATAAAACACCTAATATCTCATCTAAAGACAAATAAACTTATCATGAGGAAAGAAACATTTCATACTGAAACTAATCCTGACTGAGACTGAAATCTGCAGGTTAAAGTAGGTTGTTCTAACTGGTATATTTAAAATAAAAAAATATGGTGAAAGTGCAGAAGATCAGAAAAAGCGAGATGCAGAATCCTTTTTAATTTTTTTTATTTTGTTCAAATTATTGCAAGGTTATAATGTTCCTTTACATTTTTTTCTTATTTTATGTAATAATAAAGAAACATCTTAGAGTTGATGAAGCATTATTATTAATTGAGTAGAAAACAAGACTTAGAACAGGTTATTGCTCTAAATGTATATGTAGTTCAAAACCGAAATAAGACAGAACGAATGAACCAAAAATAATACAAGTCATCATATTGGCAAAATCGGAAAAACAACTTTCACAAGGAATATCCCAAACATGACAGTGATAAAAGTGGGTTTTTCTGACCGAAGAATGAACAAAATAATACTCGAAATACTCGCAACATCATCTTGCTTTTTACTTAAGCTAAATTAGTTGCCAAGCATGGTGATATACAGGGTGATCTGGAAAGTCAAGTACATACCAAACGGGGATAATTCTCTATTCAAATAAAACTAGCTTTATTATTATTAGCGAATTATTGCATGCGTGTAATTTCAAGGGCTTCTTATATACCCTTGAGTATAATTTAAGCAGAGCGCTTTCGATAATTACGTCATCATTAGTATAAAAAAGGAAAACTCGTCAATATTCTTTCACAAACAACATCCCTAAGAGCATGGATCAAAGCATTCCAAGAAGTAGTGAAAAGGAGTCAAAATTGAAAAAAATATTAATAAATAATATAATGTATAATAAAACCTACAGATTACTAGTTCATTTAAAAAAATTATCTTTCATAAGAGAAAGTGAATTACAGAAAATAATTTTTGGTTTCGTCTTTTAGAATCGACCAGCGGGGCACTGAAAAGAAAACCTAGAGGAAAAAAGAAAACATGACCCCTAACAAATCCTGGTCGATTCTCATGTAAAATGCCCAATAATGTATATCCTACGACAGAAGTAATTGTTCAAAGTTGAGCTAAATATCTGAGAAACTGCTAGTTGTAAAACGAGAGTAACAAACTCTTGAAATTTCAACAAGCCCTAGTCGAATGCAGACGTTTGTTTATATGAAATTTTAGTGATAAAATAAACCAAAGAAATACTGAATTTAGTGTATAACTGGCACAATACGTCTAAAATATAGGGATATGATCTGCTAATAAGCATTCTCTAGAAATAGAAACAACTGCGTCTAGTCCCTATGAAAAAGAGGATGTTAACACCAAGTCACTTTTAACGTAATTTGAACAACAGATTGTAACAATTTGGTCGAATAGGTGGAACACCCCTTATGACCCATTCGCTCACCAGATTTCACGCAGGAGTTTTTTACAAACGACAAAGGTTTAAAATCACAAGTGTAACCCCTCAAAATTATATATTCAACTAACTAAAGACAGTAGAAAAAAATATGAATGTTGCTACATTGTCTATATAACAAGTAAGTATTCACGCTTCAGTTATTCATAAATTTCGCATCAAAACTCACTGAAATATTTGCGTCTATATCCCTTATTTTATTAAAATTATAACACTGCCAAAAAAGAGTTTGATAACTTTTAAACCTCGTAACTTTTAAAGTATCCTTTGCGGCATTTGCTTCATTATGAGTTCCTTTAGTTAAATAACTCCAAATTTCGGGGATCAAAAATTGTTTAATGACTGTGTACGTGGGAGAGTTTTATTTTTAATTCAGACGTGACCCAACCAGAGGGATAAATAACGTAAAGTTTAGGCTTTTGAATAGGTCACCATTATAATTGAGTAAACTTTTTTCCTGAAGCTGAATTTAAATAGAAACGCAATAGTCGAAACAAAGAAGTGGTCCGTACCCTCCATACGCTTGATCAGATCAGTCCTTTATAGCAAATTATCGAAGGTCGGAGTGTTCGATCTGAATCCGTGAAAACAAACATGTAGAGGTTGAGGATAAACAGCCGCTGTTGACTTTAAAGTAATTCAATATCGAACAAACAATGGATAAAAGAGTAATGACAATATTCTACATCTTCTTCAAGTCCTGAACAGTTCTTATGACTTCCTGGGAATTTCAAATATTGAATTAATAAATAAAATTCAAAGAGACAGTTCAGTTATTGACAATATTGGGAACAATGATAACAAGCAATGCCGAATTATGTTTACTTATTCATAGTCAGAAAGAGGTATCGAATTCCATACCAAAGGCACTGAAAAATATTTACCCTTAATGATGCGAATTTTTAGTTCATTCTGGTTTGTTAATGTAGTGTTGAGTAAATAAGAGATAGAGGAGAACGAACGCAAATGTACTAAGCTAAGAAAAGGAGCAGTTGAAATGTAATAAATATTAATTAGTGAACACAGTAATGTTATATGAACAGAAGCTGCATAAATAAGTTGGAGTTAATACAAAGTAAGTTTGGTCAATTAGCTCTGCAATACTCATTATTAACGATCAATCAGAGAAGTTAAAGTCGAATGACTTGCAGTTAAATGGAAATGGAATAAGTGTCGCTAAGTGAAAGAAAGTGCATTTGGCGGTCCTTGCATTGAAAGAAATATGAAAGAAACCTCTTTGTAGAGAAACAAAAATAAACATTTCTGTAATCATTGGTCCATATATTTATCGAAACCAAAGAAAACAGACTGGAATTTGCTGAATATCAGATGGATCTATGTAGTGCCGAAAAAGGCGGAATACAAATAGCAATTTCAAATGCTATGTTATAAAAAGAAAGGAAGATTTTAAAGTATCAAGTCCTAAGTCTTGCATTAAAAAAACTCAAGATGAAAATCTGTGAGTGAAATCATGAACTGGAATCATGATTTAAAGCATAGAAGCCAACTTAATGCAGTCGGATTTTAAGCTTTAACAGTAAAATGAAATAAGAATTAACCGTTGACGATACATCATGAGCAATTCATAAGCGACATTTTTGAGGAGCAGTACAATCAAATGTCTCGTCAAATAAAGATAAAGCCGCAGTTTGAGTGGGCGCTTTCAAGGAAGAGACAAAATAAATGGTAAATATGCTACGCGGCCATTTCGCGGGAATGTTTTAGAAACTTGTACATGGATATTGAAAGTTAATCCTTGGAGAACGACAGTAAAGTACCCTGCATTGAATTCCGATCGACTTTATCTTAAGGGATGGTGGGACATCAGGTTTGATGTCACTTATGAAACAATCGACAAGAGAGAGAAAAATAGCCTGAAAAGAAATCATTGGAAAGAGCAACCAATTGGATATTCATCGTTTATGCCCCAAGTGTAGCTTATACATCTTTAGCAGCTAAGAAATGTTAATATATTAGTAAAAACAACACAAGCCGAATCGGGCTTAATCGAGAATGACGACGCGAGGTTACCTTTCGGATGTTCTCGATGACGCGGAGCGATCTGGAATGGGCTTTAAGGACAAATAATGCGCTATCTGGAAAATAACTGAATAATTTAAAATAAAATAGAACTCATACAAAAGTGCACGAACCCAAGTCTTTTATATCAACCTACAATGTTGTTTTGCAAAAAAATCTAAACAGACGTTAGTATTAGCTTAGTGAACGTTTTTATCAAGTCTCAGAAATTATATTACTTCGAAATAAACTAAAATTTGAAAATTTTTATAATCGATGTACACGCACGAAGTACATGCCGTTTGCACCCAAAGTATAATCAAAAACTATTGAAACAATCTTGGCTTTGGAATACGTCTTAAGTCCTAAATGGAGTCCCTAAATAATTCGTCTCTTTTTCGTAATATTGCAAAGGAAAATGTTCAGAATGTGTGAAGAAAAAGATCCTATGCATAACTATAAAAGCAACTGCTTTTATCTCCTCCCCTAAATAAGAGCATTATTTTAACTTGCATAAGACATGATCTGGATCGTATTCTCATTATAATTCATATTTAAGCCACGGCGGTGCATACACTGGTTTAATCACAAACAGTCTTCTGGCAACATATGGTTTCAATATTCCTTTTAACAGGTTATGACGGATACAATTTCAATGGATACGATACCATTCCGGAAATATAATTGAAGTAAAAAATTACGACTCGAAATTACGATTAATGTGCGCTTAACTTAGTATAGAAGTTTTTTAAATGATGTGTTTTCATTGGAAAATGGTTCACCAGTTATCTACATTCATACAAAGACAAGCCCTTTGGACTTTAATGATCTAGATGTTGAATCAATACTTTTAATTGGATGATAAAACATGTTTTAAATTACTATTTCGCGGTTGGGAACACTAAATAAATGCAAAATGGTGAGCAATTCATTATGCTTCTAAATCGTATCTTCGCGGGAACAAATGAGTTTCGATAGATAATAAAAATGTGAATGTTTTTGAAAATAAAAAAAGTTTACTTTCTGTTAGTTAGTTTCTGCGATATTTAAAATGTGATCAGTATCCCATAAAGAAATGTAGGAGATTTGAAATAAATGCATGTTAAATTGCATGTTATATGCAATGGTTCTTCCGCATAAAATATTTAAAATAAGTAATCATTAAAAACTACCATTAAAAATTCAATTTGCTTGTTTGGTGTATAGCATTAAATTAAAATGTTATCAAGAAATGTAAACCATTTTACTGCGTTTTTACTAAGTTGTGAATTAATATGATTTCTCAAGAGTTGCCATTTCAATACGTGTACAATTTTGGATTTCGGAATATAACCTCTCAAACCAGCAGTAATAATCGGAGCATATTATTAAAACAGAAAGTTACGGGAGCATATTAGAAAGAGCGAATTGTTTTAAATGTGCAAATTATAAACAATCGAACTAATATCCATAAATGCATATAACTTACCCTTTCCATATCCATAAAGTCCAAATCCAGTTTTGTGCCTTCGGCGCCTCCCATTTTCTCCGTGACATACTGAAAACAGATAATTATTCAGAAAATAACAGTAAATACATACAAGTACTTTATAATAACATCCAATATGCAAAATTTAGAAACACACTGACCTGATTGGCTTTGTTTATTTGCTTCTTTAGTCCCGCAAATGCCATTTTCTTTGTGATGTAGACAATCTTATTCTTGCCTGCAACAATTAAATGCTGATATTATGAATAATTCGCCTACATTAAATGTATAAAATATTTCATCAAATTTTATATACATAGTATTGATCATGGGACAATATTAGTGAACTGCAAAAATATACTTCCAACAAATGGGGGAGTATATTAATAAATTGTAAGCAAATTTTGTTGAAGTATTTCCGACTGATAACAGCATGGCTGTCCTGTCTGGAATGTGTTTTTAACGGTTTTATCGTTTTATTTCCTGTACATTTAACATTTCGGTCGCAATTAATGTATAGCATTTTAACTTATGCAGGACCTTATTATATTTTTCCAGGTCAGGATTTTTTCCTAGTTTACTCGCATTTATAATAAGGTCACTTTTGTTGAAACTAATCTTTATGCAAGGCGCAAGTAAATACATGAAAACGGTAAAGACAGGATGCATTGAGGCATTTAATAAGCAAAGGATTATTTCATCAACAAAATAGAAACACAACTTCTTGAGTGTTTCGATCGTTAACTTAGTTAACGTATTTTTTTCATAACGGCATTTTTTCATAATTAATATATTTGTTGACATAAATTTTGTTTCCGAATTATCATTATTATTGTTCTCACTTTGCTTTAATGAGCCTATGAAATACGTTTTAAGCCTGAGAAGCACGGTAAAATCTTATACTATTTAAATTAAGCATTTCACAAGGTAATGAATAATAATATTTGAAGAGGATTTTGATAATTGTGTTTGCTCTGTTGCCACAGTAGCTTTATCATGTAGGTTATTCATCACAAGTCAGCCTGAGACCCGTCTATTCAAACAATTCAACTATTTCTCGGTGGGTAAAAATGATATAAATACAATATTTTTTCGTTCCGTTTAACTTGCTATCATCTTCTCTGTGAATTTCTTATTCGTCCGCATATCGTTCGCGAACGCTGACTAACCCAGAAAATCGGGGTGGTTTTAGGAAATCAATTGATGGGGCATCAGGATGTTATTTCAATGAAAACTTAAAATAATATCTGGTTGATGTAAGACGGAGAGTTCCGACAATATGTCATAAGTGACAGTAATTGGCTCTCTGTGATTTTTGTACAGTTCTAGGAGTCCGAAACCTCCATTTATAAAAGACAATTTGCTTTAGTGTCGACCTTTTTCCAATTCACGTGTGTTAGAATTATATTTTCAACTAAGGAATAAATGTTTCAAAATGGGTCCAATCGAAAATTAATAATATTAGTAAAACGATCATATAAACATATTGCTCTTTTTAAATTATAAACCACAAAATGAACAAACACCGGTTAATCAAAGCATTTGAAAAAATACGTCGGGATTATTTAAAGATCCGCAACTAAACAATTAAAAAATTCGGTATAGAAACCAAAAAGCGTTTTCATTACCAACTTCTAAGGGTGATTATATAAAGCCTCATTATTAAACTAATATAATCGGACTTCGAGTTGACGAAACTGGGAAGGCGAAAACAAGTCTTGATGAGCATTTTGAGCAAATATAATTTTGGCATTTTTAATATAGTTGTTAAACAATTAATAGGAAGTTTAAAATCAAATTTTCGTCTGACCTAGTTTCAGTACCCTTGACATACTTTTCCAGTGCAGAACTGAAAAACAAAATTAAGCCAATTCGAACAGATTAGGCCTCAGATGATCGAAAATATTATTGCCAAATATAATGTTAAAATATTTTCTGAACTTCATCTTCGGTAAACCGAAATTAATAAAAACTGTGAAAGAATTGCTATCGCATAACTGTTGAAATAAAAGGTGGGGAAGTTAATTTAGATGCTACTATCATTCATGACTTAATTTTTTTTAGTACCTACCGGTTGATTTAGGGTCGCAAAACGAAAAAACGTGGATCTTTAACACTGGAAACACAAATTCTGGATCTCTCAGTCGGAAAGTCTGAAACGAGTATGGATATCGACTCGCTAAAATGTGAATGAAGTGCAGCGCAACTCGTTTCGCGCACATATCGATACTAGCAACTAAAAGACAATGTTCCAATGCCAATTTTTGTCTTTTTTCTTGAGGGTAGTTACGCTTTGTCATCAACTCTTTTTTCATATCAAAACTTCAAAGGTATTTTTTGACCACTTACAACACCCGACTTTCAAGACATGAAAGTAATATACTTGCACTTTTGAAACTTATCGCATTAATCAAAACACAAGCACAAGTGTTGAAAGATAAGATTATTGATTTTGTCTTATTTCATTTACATTCACTCCTTACTTTAGGATTGCCTTGTTATTTGAACGGAATCTCATTTTATAGCTGTGGAAAATTCAAATTCAAATTTGTAGTTGTAAATCTTAATTTTTATAGCAAATATGAGGCTTCTAAGTGAATTATATATTCTGAGAAAATTGTTGTTGCAAATAACCCAGAAATGTAAAATTCAATGAATGAAGTTTGTCTTTTCCGGTTGATTTAAAATAAATATTATGTATAATCGATAAAAACACTCCAGTATATTCCGCATCGACGCATCAAAAAGTTTAATCACTTTTTAATTGAAATACTTGCTGAGCTCTGGTTGGTTAGAAGGCAGCTCAGACCGCAATTTCTTCCAAATGACCATAAAGCACAATTTACAATAGAATGATTTTTCTCACGAAAGAACATTTGCTGTAAACGCTTGTACAAAATAGTACGAAGCCGTGTTAAATTGCAACGCCTTCTGTACAGCTTGCTAAATTATAAAATTATATTTATAATTTGGTTTTAATGCAGCATGTTATATGTATGTAATTATATTTTCAATGAAGTGCAGTAGAACACAATTTTACAATACATTTCCGTTTAATTTAGTGTCTATCAGTCTATATTTAGTGCCGATGTTTTTATTCTTAATATTTCTTGTTTAGATCGGATAGTCAGTCAGGTTGCAGTCACTTAATTATTGTTAATATGCCTTAATTACAATTTAGTTGTAAAAAAACTAATTAATAAATATATTTTTCACTATTTTATAATTACCTATGCCAAGTAGGATTTAATAATGCATGCTGGTTTAAATAGTAAAAATAAAAATTATCAATTAATCGAACAAATTATATAAAAATTGAAACGAGTTGTGTTACAGTAAACAGTAAACAGATGGTGAATAAACCTTTACCTAGAGGTTTTCGAAACTATCTTCGCTTATGACGAACAATGTAATTATCTGTTACAGTTCAGATTATACATTACTGTTATTAATTAGATTATTTTATTAACTATCGTTTTTCCTTATTTATTAAGTCCTCTCTTATTATTTATTAAGTTTATTTCTTCCTTTTTGATTATTTACCAGGCCCTGATTCATGCAAGGAAAATATGCTTACAAATTAAAATGTCAAATAATCGAAACATTACATTATAAAAGATATATTAAAATTGCAATTACTATCCTATACCTATGTGGATGTAAAGAAAGATTAAAAACGAAATCAATATTGCCAAGATCATGTGCGCTTGAGGCGACTGCTATTTGAAACCAAAATAAACTTTATTTAATTAGGTACGAAAAAAGGACAACATAAAAATAAACCATCATTTGGGCATGACTGGAAACCTTTTCCTTAACATGAGATATAAGAATAACATTGCATATTAAAAGAGAACAGACTCTATGTTGAAAAAATACAATAAACCGTTCGAAAACATGTCTTGCAAGCGCACCTACGCAAAACGAACCCCTAGAAATGTTCGTTTGTGTTTGTTCCTGTAAAAATGCTATGGTGCCTGCTAATTGATAATCCGTAAGGGAATCGTAAACGAATTTTTGTGATGAATAACATTGTATCCGAACAGGTCAATATTCAATTCACTTTGAACAGTTTATATTTCCAGGCACATCTTTAGTTTCACTAGTGAAATATCGACTTGTTTAGATCCGTAAATACTGTTCAACATTTTAGTTCAGCACTAATGACCTGTTTTATATCCCGTCTCAATAGCCCATCTTGCATCAAAAATTATGAACCGCCACAGATTGAAGCAAAAATGTAAAAATGTGAACAGAATATATCGAAACTTGAAACACTCTATAGCTCAGAAACTGCCTTTTCACCTTTTCGATAGTCCTTTCCTGAACTATATTTCACGGATTTGGGTTTGTCCGAAATGTACACGATGTAAAGCGGTACAAGCGGGAATTCTTAAATATTGGGGAATTATACTTTAAAACATCCTGTATTCCAGTAAGGGATGCAAATATCCAATTAATCGTTATGGCACTTTCTCGTCCCCAAAGCAGTCTTTCACCATTTAGATTTCATTACAACGTCTTAACCGGCAGAGACAGAAGTAAAATTTTGGTTGCTCTCAAAGATTATTAAAAGATATATAGCTCAAAAACAGTTAAAATGTTCAAATCGTTTCGATTTCCCGTTTCAAACTCTATCTTTCATATTATGTTTTATGGCAAAATCCCAACATTGGAAAAGTTAGAAGTGAAAATGTTAAATTTTTTGAACCATTGAAGTTGAAAACATGTATCTCGCAAACGGCTAGAAATATCGTATCGATCGCCCGTCTGTTACTAATTAGATTTGGTCAAAAATACAAGGGATAGAAACCGCCATAAGAATCTGCAAAATATCTATCTCCGGATTTCGGATCTGAGCAGTGTGCAAATTCTTACAAAAAATTAGTGCCCACATTTTGCCGAATATGTGGTTTAATTTTACCCGAGATGCAAAGATACGACTTACTTGTCATTCACAAAGTGTTCTAAGTACAATCAAGAATAGCCAAGCAAGATTTTTTTAAATTTCCTATTGCGATCCATAATTACATTACGAGTTGTACAAATATGATAAGTTATGAACGGACGAGATAACTCGTAATACGAGTTCTGAGTAAGTAGACAACCTCTCAAGAGTTATTAGAAGTTAAATAAGGTAATACCATGAAGGATCACTGTACTGTATTTTTTTAATGTTAAGTTCTTTCAGATACAAGCTAAACTTAGCTGATATTTTTTCACATATTTTAATAGACTTTTAATACCCATTCCAACAATATATGCACATACCTGTTTACCCAAAATTAATCAAATGGAACAATTAGGCCTTATTTATCATATCGCCAAACCTTTCGATAATGCACTTTTTTCTTCGGAGACATCGGCAGGAAATTATTTATCGCTTCCGAAATAATACATATCTTAACGTACCCATCAAGTTTTCGCTCAAATTCAAGTACGCTCTCTTCCAATACTGAATCCGTTAAGCCGGATTCGAAAAGTTTGTGGAATGTGTACCTATTGAACAAAACCGTAATAATTTTGAACATTTAAATTACTTGTAGTAAAGGTTTATGGTAATCGGTTTCCCAAAATTTTGTAAGTATTTTAATTAATAAAATACCCAGTTTACCATCTAGTTTTTTAAATATCTAAACAATATGTTGTCAGTTATTAGTTGATTGATTGAGTTGATTATAGACGATAATTACTACATATTATATTATGTGCTTTTCTTGCTTTAATTTTGAGTAAACCCTTGCCCATTACATATTGTTGGAATAGGCATTCAAAAGCCAATTAAAATATGTATGCAAAAATAAACCGGCTGTCCCATTTTCAAAAAGCTTAGTTCGGCTTGTATGTAAAAACATTACTGATAGAAAGAAACTACCTTTATCACTGGATTCTACGTCCGTGGAAAACTCTACAAGAAGCCGTTTTTACCTCTAATATATTTCGTTCCTCAGCTCAAAAAGGCATCAGAGACACCAACTAGGCTGAAAACAGCAGCCACCAAATGCAAACATTCACAGAAAAGACAACCCAAATGGTGTAACTAGCAGTACCACCAAGGAAAACAGCAGATACAAGAACAGGCGCCAAAGCGAAGACCTCAAGATGTCAAACAGCCAGGAAAGGGAGTCGAGTTCGAGTCGAAGTGGCTAAGAATCTCACATAACGTATGATCAGGGGAGTATAAGTATCTTGATGGCCACTGACGATCAACTAACTATTCTCCACCTCTACGTAAAAAAAACAGTGATTGTTCTCAATCGCTCACCTGATTTGCTTAACGAAATGTGCGTTCTTCAATGAAGATTGCTTTGGATTTCGCATTTTCCCCTTCAACAAAATTGGCCTTCATCCAATATTTGCAACTTAATGGATCGTTAGCCATATTAGTCTCGTCAGAATTGAAGATTTTCTACTACGACCGTCATCCTCCAAAATAATTTACATATTTTCAAGTTATTGTTATATTAGTTTAAAGATAGACATAATATATATATGCCGTATAATCGACCAATGAACCCAATCTTGAGGACAAATCTTCCAAAACCAGTAACCTGTCGTCCTTGCCTAGGCTAAGAAACATTTTGCATCCGTTTGAAGATGTTTAAGATTATAAAACCTACATATATTAATTGGTACCGATGATAATAACCCAATAATCGTAGTTATCAGTCATTTTATTCCATATTAACAAGTACTTTGAATTCTAAATAAAAATTATAAATCACGCTACACGAATAAATTTAACAGTTTCCGAACTATCAAGGGGCTGAAATTTCGCCTCTCCCGAAATGATCCCAAGAGGCAATTGGGAACGAGATCGAGAATCTTAGAGCTCGAAAGGAATCAGTAGGATCTGGAGTCATTAATAAAGAAAGGAAGGAAGCACCGGGCTTACCAGTGTAAAGTCAATTGAGACAGTATAAAAAAATCAGTCAGTAGCGAGAATGGTCGATTCCAAATCTTTGGGCAGAGACGTCATTATTTGAAACCCCATATTGTAATTTTCGAAAGATTTTCGTTCATATTCCGCGGTTGAAAGCTTAAGCGTTTCTTCTCGGTGTTTTGAAAAAAAAATATTTCTATATAATCAGATATTATTGTTAAAACAGGGTTAATTGCTTGATTGATGATAAATTAAACATTCGTCATTAGTATTCATATAAGTGCACAAATTTGATTTTTTTCTATAAAATACCAATTCACTTTTTACTCGAGTAGTCAACAACATCGCCTTTAAATTATTTGAGTGAAGGAGAAAAATTATGTTAAAGTTGCGAAATGCAAATAATAAATTGTACAGTACTTGGCGTTAACTGTGACTGTGCGTGTTATTTTCTTGATGGCAAACCTGCAGTCGCATTATAAAGAAAGTAAAAGATAAAAATGGGGAACTCAACCCAGATCTAAGGGATGGAGTGAAAGTATGGGCAAAATGAGCAGTTGTTTGCTCTCACTATATCGGTAGTCATTTTTATACCAGAAAATAGCAAATAACACACAAATAGAAATTGTACCAATTAAATGATGGGAAAATTTACAGAAACTGTCAACACTCCCCACGAAATCGAATAAATAATTTTAATAAATAAATTTAAAAGACGACTTGGACCGCGCTAGTGCCTCCCACTCGTTCTCTTGAATGGTGTAACAGTTTGATGAAAGACGTTAATAACATCAAATTTCCGGCTCGATCGGTGGACAAGTAATAGAAAAAGATCCACAATTATTGCGTCACTGCCAAAACGCTTTGGACAGACCTATGGAAACTTTCCATTGGCTCATTTCGTGACTCAAATGATCATATAACACGTTCTGCTACTAGAAATACTGCTAGTTTGTGTTATATTCCCAAAATGCTTTACTTTATGTTATATTAATCAGCTATACTAAGGATTAAAGAATCAAACTTCTTGGATCCCTATTAATCAAACCGTCAGTCGTCAGTTATGAGTGAGTTATGATCGAATTCCCGGAAAATACACAATAATACCCTCAACCCAAATCAAACATCAGACTGCTATATTTAATTAGCAAACAGTGGCATTATTGCGAGCCGACACATGTATTGGTTTATACCAGTCAGAGTGCCAGAGGAAATCGATTTTGAGATTTCGTGTTGGTAAATCTACCCTGATTGTGTAGTGACCACTAAGCTAATAGGCAAAATCTATTGTCCCCTTTTGAAGCAAAATTCGATTCAATTACTAATACATCGTATGCAGGGTACAGATAATCGTCAAAGACAGCGAAAATTCGTTATTGCACGTTAATGTTTGTTCGCTGAAAGTTTGCTGAAATTCATAAATGCGATAGCAGAAAACAACATTGTTTTAGGTAGTTAACATCACCTGATGTTAAAGAACATCTTGTTAAGCGCATTCATTACGTCTTTAAGCCACTAAAGATACACAAAGAAAGACAAAGTCAGCGATTCACTGCTTTCGTCAAATTTAGCTCACAATTCGTGCATGTTTCGAATCAAACAAACAATCCCAAAAACAACGTTCTCTAAATCTCTTATATTTGTCATCTGCAATTTGAAAGATGTTTCCTTCCGTCTTTGTGCTTACAGGAGCTGAGCAATTTGAGTGCTTTAACAAAGCTCCCCAGCAACAGCTGTAATAATACAGCAGTAAAATCGATTTGTTTTGTGAGACGGTATTTACCAACATGTTTCTAATTCAGAACGGTCATTAAAAATGTTCAATAATTTAATTCCTCTATGGTTCACATACTTTCTGCCTGATTATTTAATCAGTAATTGCAGATTATTGGTACAATTATTTTTGCTAGTAATCAAATTGATTCTGTACTTGAAAGACTTTCCTTTCTGAATTCTACAGTTTGTGTATGATATAATGCCACGGATAGATCCAAGTTCAATTTTAACAATATTATAATACTACAAGAACGAAGTACCAGTTGGCAAAAAATATCAGCAAATAAATGAACTCGGTTTTCCACATATTGACGTCTTCATGTAATTGTTACAAATCCATCCAGTTTAACGTGACTTCCTTTTGAGAAGGAAGGATTTTACCCCCCAGACAATTTTAATCCTCTCTATAGGAAAAGCCCGTCAAACGGAAAACTTATTCAATACCCGCTGCAAGATGAAATACAAAAATTTTCCATGTGAACTTATTTTATTATAAAATATTCCCAGCTAAATCCGAACTTCCGGAGCGGTTTTGCCGGAAGGCAGATTTGTCCAATAAAAAGGGTATTGAAATTGATATTTCTATTTAAAAATGTACTTTATTTTCAAAAAACATGTTTAAAACCATTTTGCCATTCAACCGTAATAAACGGTATACATCTTAATTATTAATCCACCCTAAAAAATAACACGTAACAAATTTTAGTATTAAAACGTATCTATGTGTCCATTACAAGTTCCAAATGCGCCTGTAGAGGAAAATGCGACTACACGTCCACTTATTGGTTCTCTTCTTGTTGGAATTGGAGGGCTTTTACAAGTAAGACAAGTCTTAAATTGATGAGAATATAAGTAGGGGAGTTGCGTCATTAACAAAATACAGTAAAAATTGAATGCATTACTTAAGAGCAACATGGACATTGGCAGAAATTATTTGTTTGGATGAGGTGAATGTGCGAGTTTAACGTTTCTATTATATCTAATCTACGTGCTTTCAGGTGTAATTTATAATCAAAGCTGATCATAGTCTCATAACATATTTACTTATGCGAAAACTGAATAATACAAAATCCGTTGAAAGATTTTGGTATGGTAATCGTCCTAGCATGGTAATATTAAATTAATAAATAGTTAACTTTTGTACTATTATAAAGTGATATAACTGGTTAAGTACTTTCACCTTGACACGAAATAAATAGCACTACAGATGTAAGAGCAGCTACGTCTAAGCAAGGCAATAAGCAATATATAAAAGTTAAATAAATTCACCTGAAGATTCTATATAGTCTATAGTATTGTAGTTGCCCGGCTGGATATGAGAGAGAGATAACCAACTGAACGCTTTCAATCTGGTAATAACATAGACAAAACATTAAAATCAATACCTATTAGTTAAATGGACTAATAATTTACAGGATTGTAATTACCTATAATCAAATTGCAAAATGTTTTATTTACTCGCTTCACTGAGAATGCTTTCTACAAATGTCTACAGCACTTGCTAGAATTATTTCCTTTACAAATCAATCAGGTAAAAACAATAATTATATAATATTGAACAATAGTTATGTATTCAATGAACTGTGCAATGTTTTGAATCCTTGTAGAGTTATTGTACTTTCAACGTTTAAAACTACCAAGTTCACATCAACCCACATTAATTCGTGCCTTATCACGGGTATACAAGGATAGTTGTGAGCCTATGTAGATACATTTACTTTTTTATTTATTTTTTTGGGATACTTCAATAAGAAAATATATGAAGTTTGCTAACATCAGTGATCATATACATTGACCGGTAAACAACCTACATTGTGTTTAAAAACTGTAAATTAATTTATGTAAAAACATAAGTATGTATTGGGAATCTTGTATTTATAAACTGCTGATTTTTGGATTGCAGGTGAAACATTAGGTACTTTTCATTCAATTAGGTACCTTTGTTTTTCGTATAGCTGATCAAAGAACATTTCATGTGATCTTTTGCTTTCAAAAGTTCATATTTACTTGATTTATTTTTTGAGGATAATTAGAGGTCTGTTGCCTTCAAAACCCTTTACTTTAAAAACAGCAAGCTTTTATTAAGCATTGAAAACATCATCCATTTGCTGCCATGCTAGACCTAATGGGCTTTTAAAAATAATCTGAAACGTTGATAAGAGTCTAAAATAAATCCCATGTGTAAAAGTCTAAATTACACTTCCCTGTTTCGTGGTTGATTCGAGGCATATTCTACATTCTACTGCCAAAACTATTACGAATATGTAAATTGTTCTTCCTCGACAAACGTTTATTATTTATTATATATTAACTCGGTATGTATTTAAGGTATTGAAGGCATAATGCTCAGAACAACCCATGATGCAACGTTTACTAGGAGAGATTCCGGGCATGTTCAAAAACTGTCACAGGGGAATCTTTTTAGAGGCTTATTTTGAGGCATTACTGGAAAGTTTTTCTGAAACTACATAGTTTTTAAGTGACAAAGTGCATCTTGATACATTTTGAAAATATCCATAGTTTTCAGGTTATTTCAAATTTCCAATACATGTTCATTACGAAATCGACGGACTTTTTCAATTAACCACAGTAGTAACTCTGCTGGATTTTGAAGAAATATTCTACATCATGAAGCAAATCAGAAATGACTTATCACCTAAGGTCCAAAAGTGAGTTAATTAATTACTGGGATAGTTTTATTATTTTTTATTAGTTAATTAATAACCGGATCAGTTTACTAGCTGGGTAGGCTTTTAGATTTGCTAAATTACATGGGCGGAACTCCGCTGGGGAGCAATTTTAGACCATTGCCGATATATTTTAAGACGAAGGATACTCCCCGAAAATCTCGCAGAGCAAAATAATAAAGCTCGGTCGAAGAAAAAGTAGGTCGATTTGATCATTCTCTAAAAAAATTTAAATCACTAGAAAACTATGTGTTTCAAAATGTCTCATGCCGCACTTTTTCACTTAAAATCTATGTAAGTAGATTCAGAAGAACTATCTGGTAACGACTCAAAGGGACCATTTAAAAAGATTCAACAAGTTTTTTTAACGTTCCTTCCGGTATCTCCTTAGAGTTTTGCTAAATGGGCTCTCTATGGGTTTATTAAACCCGTGAAACTTAACATGCTACCCGGTTTCACTTTTACAAAAAATACCACCAATTACACACAAATACAATTTTTAGATCAGTAACTCCATTGGTTGACACTTTACTACTACTACAAACAATTTGTTAAAACATATTCATAAATTTGATGAAACAATTTTTTTTTTGAAATGTAGACATGTGATCCAGTCTAAAGATGATTCGGAAACGAAAATAGTGATGTTTTCGAAAAAGCATTTTATTTTGTATATTATATATGGACATTTAGACTATTTTTGGGTAGATTACAGTGGATAAGAACATAAATACGTTCCTAACGAATTGATAATTCAACATAGCAACTAGGCAATTATTCGATACAGGCGCCCCATCATAAAATGTACTATTTTTGGAAGAAACAAACACGTTTGGGTCATATGGTCGTTGTAAACGTAACTCAAAGGGTAATAAATACTTTTCGCACAATTCGTATTTTAGTGAGATACTAATAAGAAGAAGCGAATAAGATTTCAACAATTACTGAGGCTGGATCAGGAAACGTTAACCTTTTGTTATAACATCCACTAGAACTATATAATCTTAACAACGAATCAGCGCAAACGTGCGGTAAAGCAGCTGTAATTACGAAAATTTTTCAATTTGTTTGATAGACATATTGTTATCTATCTCAATCATAGGGTTAAATGAGATACATTTAAATCCTTTCTGAACGAAGATTAAAATGGAAATACAGCAGACCCTACGTCGTAAGTATCATTAAATATATTCTGCGAATGATGAAGAAAATTGGACAAGGTTATCAAAGGGATAACTTCGAATGAGATATAATAAACACTTCACAAAGATTAATTTTATCAAACTACATTTGCTGCACAGTTGCAACCAGGAAGTTCTCAAAAAAGACGCACAAAGCAGTGAAAGTTTTATGTAACATGAAGGTATGAAGCAACAATGATTAGAATGTATATGCTACTAAGTAAACTATAACAAAATACTTTGTGTAAACAGCATAGAAAACCCCCCAGTCGTGCAACCAGATATTTTAGGAACTAACGGATGAATTGTCCATTATTCTATATGTAAAGCATTCAATAATTGAGGCAAACTCACCCAAAAAGTATTAATTGAAACGCACTTTTATTCCGCAAACTTAAATTAAACCAAAGGAAATTGTTCTTAACGAATTTATAAAATACACCTTGACACCTGACACGATCAAGTAAACTAATTTATTTTTGACTTTGACAATATTAACGAGTAGCAATGATGCCATATAATGGATATATTCCTTGACACCAAGACGTTACAAAATGTTTGTTATCACTTTATGGAGTCATTTATTAGTACTGATGATTCATAATTGAATATTGCCATTTATTAGTAACTACGGATGCTACGGATTTCAAAACCAGAAATATGGCTAGTGTAGAACGTTATTTCCCAGTTTCACTGTTCCACAGGGGATCAAAAATTAAACTTAACTTAAAAACAGGAAATTTGTCGCTTTTCATCAAGCTCTTATAGCCATTATAAAAATGTATTTAATATAAGGGTGCATTTTATAATAAATTTTGTTAGTTAGTGTGAATGACCTATAAAGAGTCTTTACGTGACTAATAATAATCCAAGTACTGTAGTTCTTTATGTTTCTATCGATCACCAAACAATTCGGTTTGTCTCAAGTTAAAAATTGTGATTTCTATGTGAAACATATACGTACAACCTCTAATCTCTCGCTCATTGAACCAAATTCGGAACTGTCTTGTTCTACTTGTCAACTGTTCTCGACACATGTCATATTAGCATGACAATAAAACGTCACAACACAACGTTTGAATGTTGATTTTGTGATTTAAACATCACAACAGTGAATAGTGTGGAATTTATGGCAAGTTTTGGCCTCTTAGCATACTCTCAAAAGAAGACTTAACTCTGTCGGAGCTGCCAACTATTAAAATGGGTGATTATTCGCTTTGTTTGAATAATTATAACAAACTCTATTTATTCTCAAAAATTTTATTTTATCTGAACAAGTTTTTGCCAAAATATGCTGTTTGTCACGCAAAATATATATTACAAGAAATTTACTTGTTTTGTGGTGAAAACTCTTAATCCCAGATGTTTATCTGTCTTACTAACCCAAGTATCTGGTCCGAAACTAAGGCCCTCTTTTACTTTGTATTTTTTTTTCGTACAGGGGCTTAGATGGCGGAAATACTTTTTTTTAAGTTTTAAAGCCGAATTATATTTCAGTCTAAACATTTCGGTGTACATGTACGAAAAGAACCAAACAAAATGAACATAAATTATAGATAGTATTTTTTCTGTGTTACCTTTAAACTCCACCAGTGTGTTAATAGCTGCATTATTATTTTTTCTTACGTCTTTTTTTTTCATATAGCTCCAAAGCAAATGTATTCGAAAGCATTATCAAGATATACCTACATAAATTTATGGTTTATGCTCAATGAAGTTAAGACCCATAATACGTTTAGCGTGAAACAGATTGACACATTTTATATTTAAGATTTTCTGACAAGAAATAAACCATAGAATTTAAATATAATATAATCTTAGTATCAATCTACGTAACAGGCAAACTCTATTCAATATTCATTCAAAATTAATTATTAAGAAAGAAAATATTTCAATAGATATTCAAATGGTCAGGAAGCTGTTCGCAAATATATTTTTACTAATATCGATGCTTACCTATAGTTGGCCAGTTTTGAAACGATAGGAAACCATTTTTTAATATATATTATGTCTAATATATATTAAGATATAGAATAAACTATAATTTTGTACTGTTTGAAGATAGAAAATAATTAACATGATTTTAAGTTATATTCAAAATATGATTGTATCTTACTTTAGAGCTCCGTTACGTAATTTTATAATTTTAACTGGAAGCATAATCATTTAATACAATAATTCTTCACATTTCTTAAGTTTATTATAATTGCTTTCATAACTCTCGTCGAGCATTTTTAACTTTTGTTTGAAATACATCGACATTGATATTCAGCGAGGAAAAAGTTCTGTTACAAATCTTGTCCTTCGTTTTGCAATTGAAAAATTATGAGTAAAAGGAAGATTAATTTATTCGAATCTGCAATTCGATTATTCTTTGCATACCTACGTACTTTATGAAACTAGAATAAGCTAATTAATGGTTAACTTACTTCAGCTATCAGAATCAGAACTAAAGTCTTCTGATCACACATTCATAGTTCACACAAGCACTAAAATTGAAAAACTGGCATGTATACACTCATATTAACGAACTGTAAAAATATAACTTATTGCGAACTCGTTCTGGTAACGTTATGTTATTAATGGGAAATTTAATAATGAAAAACAGAGATGCGGTTTATTGCAATTAAACTCTTGTTTACTTTTACATCATTTTACTTCTGATTTGTTTGATAAATTGTCCATAAGACACCATATGGTGAAGATTTGCAAATGTGTATATTCCACGTGTAATACGGTTTTTATTGGCCTTTTTAATTCGAAATAGTAAAAACTTCGCCGAAGAGTAAACAGCTCAATTGAAGGACGATACGGAATTTATTTTGAAGTCTTGTTCATTGTAAGAATTTATTTTTTTCTTAAGTAGAACAGAATAAATAGTTAAAAATATGATGAGATTGAAATCGGAAATAACAAAGAATATCGATCTTCAACGATTTCTTTTAGTGTGGATTCTTCATAATCCCGCTAGCTGAAAAAATTGGCTCAAAAATATTTTTCCATTCGATAAAGTTTAATTGCAACTGTCTGTGCTCTTGCTTTAACTTTATTATAAACTTTTCAGCGGTAAATACCAAAACATCGTTCATATTGGCTTTCATCAGTGGTGTACTCTTGTTCTCGTCAATGCAGATGTGGAAAGCCTGGTTTGCCGCCTCAAGTCACCAAACTTTGCTTGGTGGGCTTCTCGGTTCATTTCTTTTCACCTTTACGTTAACTGCTATAGGAAACTGCGAAACCCTGTTCTTTGGAAAGTCTTACACCCTTGGACTATTTCCTGAAGGTGAGAAAACTATACGTTTTTTAGTAAAAGCTTTATGTATATATTTTTGTAATTTCAGTTGTTCTGGCTCTTGTGATGGCAGTATCAGCAGCAGCAAGTGTTCATCGAGTAGCTGGTACATTCTGGTAAGAGTATTCAATTCAGAAATATCTCGCAGGAAATTCAAATGTTTTGATTTTGTTTCAGTTTTCTCTTATCACTGCTATCCTTATTTTATCTGAACAACTATTCGCAAAAGGTATACGGCCATGTAGCTCCCCAACCTATTCCCACAGGAAAGAAAAAGAAGCATTTATAAGTATTATCTACTTTACAATTAAATTCTTCCTAATAGTATATTAATAAAATATAACATACTAATAATATGGCTTGTAAAGATCTGAATCCGAGAGGATGTCTTGCGTCTGATTTTCAGAGTTTTCTCAAGATTTGAATGTGGTTGTAAATGCATTTTTCTACTGATTAAAGTATTGATACTCAGCTTTGGTGTTTTCATTTTTATTTAATTTTGCATTTTACGTTTTGTAGATAATAATTGTAGAATAAGTTCAATAATGAATAACGAAATAAGGGCACCGGAAATAAAACATTTTTTCTAAAACATTAGTTTCTATGCTTTTATAAATATTCTGATCAATAGTTAATTTAATTTTATGTCATAAAATAATTAACAACATTAATAATAATAATAAAAATGACAATAAAACGATTAACTTTAACAATGTAAAACCATTATTGGTAGACGGTATGTAAAATTGAAACTTATTAATACTATTACAAGAAAATACGTCTCTAATTTCACTACGCGGCCTGTTCGCCTCATCGTTTTCCCGATAGATACGCACTTGGTGGGTCATCAGGAATTCAATCTGTAAAGATAAACAATGGTTATGAAAACTAGCATTTTAAATCGAGAATTTTCTTGGAGTCGAAACCAATAATCAAACCACAACAAGTACACCTACTTGCTATATGTTTTTGAAGTATATTTTCTTAATTTTTATATATCTAAAGCAGCTTACGATTACCATACTGAGCAGTAGAGAGCTGAAATGAATGTGTCCAATTGAATATATTTCTAATAGGTCATCAAAGCTTTAAAAAATCTGCACTGTAGATCGACGGTCATCATAATAGATATAGCAATAGATAGATATTTTTTTGATTTAATAGAGAATCACATGTATATGTATCAAATTTTATTGTAACTGACGCCTGAATAGCACGCAAGTATTATAAAATTTTGCGATAAACCAGATTGGAAAGGTGGTTTTGGAATAACTTTTTGTAGTGGTTTTCAACGCATCTACTCAAAATATACTAACTTTAGGCTTCCCGGCACACTAGGGACTCGCTGTAAACTACAATCCAGTCTAAACATACTATGCGCATCGTGTGATTGGGTCATATTTGAACCAGCATTTAATCCGAACAACATTTCGTTGGGATGAGCCGTTCGCCGTCTCACTTTTGATCTGGTTTGTGGAACATGTTGTTCAGGAACTTGCAAACTGCAAATAAATATTAATTAATCACTCCTATAAAAATAAATATGAATTTAGCATCAAATGAGCTACATTCAGTCTACCTATTTAACAAATTTTGAATGTTTTCTGTGGAGGGATTTTAAGCGATTTTGTCGGATAACATTCTAATAATAGTTGTAATCATATTTAATAATAATTCATAACTGTATGAGAAATTCTTTTTAATCGTAATAGGCGTTTTAAGAAGGAAAATAGTTCCCTGAAAATTGCGGAAAGCAATATCTTCATCTGATAACCGCTTGTATACAGCTCATATATCCAGTAAGGCAAAATGCGCCCTTCCACTTACTGAGTGTCTGGATGAGTTGGAGAAGAAGACCTGGATGAATTATTTGAGCTAGTAGTATCATTAGTGTTACTAGAAACACTGGTAACTAACTCTTTAGAGAATATCGGGATTTCGTTGTGGAGTAAGTGGTCTAAAAGTTGACCTTTAACATTTGCCTCTTGTTGCAACTAAAATTTACAATAATTAGCATTCGATTTTACATGTTCAATAATGTTGTACCTCTACTAAGTTCGCTTCATTTTCCCTGAGTTTAGCATCGCGCTGAGCGACACCATGACTCTGGGCCAGGGTCATATTGTATAATTTTTGAATGATATATTTTGCTTCATCTATATCGTAAACAGATGCTATAATTAAATCCAAGCCTGCTGTGTCAGCAGGATCTAAAGTTTTCTCAATATCTATAACATTATGTTGAGTTTCGCTGATTATCTCTTGGACATAGTTTATGTTTTCTTTGATGTCTTCAATGTAACTATCCAATTGAGTAAGGTCTTGATTTTTAGCCACAGCTTGTTTACGTCTTTCTTCTAGAACATCTAATTCTTTTCCTAAAAAAATAAACTTATTTTCAGCTAAGTACATGTTAAAGGATGCAAAATATTTAACGGAGTTGGCTGTAAATATCGCTGCAATGAATACGATTGTTATGACCGGAATTCTAATTAGCAATTTTCATATTTATATTCAAAATAATCACTCCGCCTTGGAAAGGAAATGGTATAAATTTGCTTACCCAGTGCCTCGCGTTTTTCCAGAAAATGTTCCATTCGAACTTCCTGCTCCACTAAACCTCGTCGATTTAAAGCGATGTTGTTGACCGACTTTTCCATTTGTAACCACTTCTGCTTAGCTGTTCTCTCCGAAAATGCTTTGGATGAGAGCTTTCCAGCAGCTTTAAGGCTCAATCGTCCTCTTTGGCTCTTCCTTAGAACCGACACTTCCTCCTGTTTCCTTTTTAAGACCTGATCTTTAATTCGCCTTTCATTTTCCATCGTTTTAATAACATTGGCATTTTTTCTAGATTCCTTTTTCAGCTTGGCGATTTCCCTTTCACGTTTTAGCTCTGACTCCTTGTGTTTCTGTGCTTCCTCTTTCATTTTATTTATTAATCTAACTTTGGCTCGTTTCATTTCCAACAGATCTTCCTTGTAATTTTTCAACTGCTGTTCATATTGGCTACGATTTCTAACCAGTCGTGCATGCTCTTTTTGAGCAGCTTGAAGTCGTTTTAGTTCCCTCTGCATATCGCTGATTTTTCGTGTGTAGTCCTCTTTAACTTTTTTTACTTTATCTGGCGGCTCTGGATGGTTGCCGTATTTGTGTAGTACCTTATCTCGCTCTTCTTGTGTGTTCTGAATACGAAGCTGAAGCTGCATTAGTTTGTCTTCATAATGTTGTCTCATGGTTTGCATTCTTCTCTGGGACAATTCTAGTTCATCAATTAGTTTCTGCTTCATATCAATATCGTTAGTAAGTGTCATTAGTTCTTCGTTAAGTTCTGTGTTTACTTCCTCGTTATCACTAGTAGATTCGTGTTCGCTATCGCCCTCACTATCCTGCTCTATCTCTATGGATCTGCGATTCAACACTTCCTTTTCTCGTTGCAAGTTTCTCTTTGCCTCTTCAATCAAAGAAGTATTATCACCAATAAGACTAGAGCTGAATAGCAGACTTTGTCGGTGAGGACTTTGCGAACGACTCAATTGCTTTCTGAGTTGTTCACAAGTGTTGTTAGATTCTATTAGCTTAGCTCGAAGCTCTTCTATCTCTTTGAGGTAGGCTTGAACCATATCTGCCACTTCGCTATTATTACCGCTGCTAATCCATCCACCCATGGCTTTTTCAGCCAATAAATTAGTATTTTTTAAAGTTAATGCATCTATTGTTTCTTGCATTGCTTTTACTCTGGTTCGTAAGTTATTTATCTCTCCTTGGAGCATATTGTTTTCATAAAACATATCGTTAATTGTTTCAGTTCCATCTTCTCCGACCATTCTTTTTCCTTGTTTATATTCGACTAATTCTAATTGAAGCTGGGCAATCTGTTGCCGCAGCTGGCATATGGTCTTCGAACTCTTATCCTGATTAATGAATATCTTATTCTTAATGTTACGCGCTCGGTTAGCGTATTTCAGCGTGTTAAGAGTTTCCATAAAATCTCTATCACTGGGACTAACGCAAGCTATCATCACAGTTTGACTATTTCCACCTAAACTATCTTGTAACAGCCGTGTAAGCTTGGAATCTCTATACGGCACGTGTAAAGCTCTTTTGGCTTTGTCACCTAAAGCTGAGATAACATTTCCTAAAGCAAGTAAGCCACAGTTAATAGATATTCCTTCTTTCTGTCTTTCACCAGTGGCACCAGTTCTTTTCAGTCTCTCCGAACCAGCCAAATCCACAAAGTGGAACTTGGCACTAAGCGTTTCAAACTCATTGGAAATTACATTTTCATCATCAGGCACTACCAACTTTTGCTGCCTAATGTGCAGTGTGAATATTGCATGCGATCTTGAAGACTGCGTGTTCATCTGAGTACTAGCAGTTGTTCGAGATAACGCTCCTAATCGCAAGCATTGTAGGGCTTCCTCAGCGGATTGAACTGTCTTGAATGTAACGCCTTTGACTTGAATCCCTCCATAAGGATCTTCGTGTATTTTGTAAACTTTTTCCTACAAAAACACATAAAATCAAAAAAACTCCTTTCAAATCTTAAGTAATGATGTACTTACTTTTGTATAGGATGGGTTAAATAAATCAATAACTTCCTCGTTATACAATTCCATAAATTGTACTGTAACTTTGAATTCAGGTGCGAGTATACCATCTTCATGAGCCCTGTCTATTCGAGACTGAATCCCATCAAAGAGATGGTGTATGGCTCTTGGAATTATACCTTTCTGTTCATTTGGCAGTTCAACATCAAACCCTGTACCCATAGTGTAGGTTTTCCCAGACCCCGTTTGTCCATAAGCAAGAACAGTGGCATTATACCTGCGGATTAAATTAACGATAATTAAATGGAAACGAGCTAATGGGTTTTAGGGTGCGTACATGGCAATTTTTGTACCGGCCTATGGTCAACCTTTTAACTAAATATTTTGGAAGGTTTTAGCAAAATGAGCATAGCTGAAAACGTTAAATTCCTATTTTTAATTAATTAATGTACTTTGCCGCCATTGTCCGAAACTGGCGAGTTTTTGGGAATTGAGGAAAATAAATAATTTCCTTCTGATGTTATTTCAATTTTTGGAAGTAAACGCATTCATTTTACAACTCCTTTAACATTTTCTTTGTTCTCTTAAAATTTGAGATGCAAAAATCAGATTTAATCAACTGCAGTTGATAAATACAATGCAAGTAATGCAATACAATTTAAACTGCACCGAAATACCCATCAAAGTACCCATTAACGTTCTTGTCGATATTTAAAAATCGCTCGATGTTTATATATTTTTAGATACTTTTGTATTCGTTTTGAAGAATCCTTCAGCCGTATAAGGTTTCAAGGCGATAAATCAGATCTAATTAGGGAATGCAAGTTCCATAAAACCGAAACCCCCAAAAATAAAAGCCGGCTCGAAAGATTTAAAATGTATTTTCTCAAAATAGAAAAAACATTGGTTTATGTAGGTTTACTCCTATAATGGGTGTGAGGGTCATTTTGTGTTTTTTGCCTTTTTCAGTTGCATATAAGCTACAACTTCTTATATGATAATATTTCTTGGTGGGTTGTTAAATTAATAATACCCTGCAAATGTAATCCAAAACAATTGTGATAAGTTGCAGTATTGCATATTTACTGTGCTACACCTACACGTACACGTAATCGATTCTTGGAATTAAACAGGGCATATCCAATCCTTATCTTGATGAAGCGAAATATATTAAGCATAATATTAAAGCGCATATAAGATAGATAAAAGCATGGTATTAAAGGCTTGTGATATACTGGATATACAGGGTGTTTAGAGTAGAACCTAGATCGAAAAGTTCCAATAGATCTAGACCCGAAAATAGTTTTGTGCTGTTTTAGAGATTTAACTCCCTTTTTTTGGTTGTCATTTTTTGTGTACCTAGTTTAACATTTAGTTCTAACTATTTTGAAACAGTTTTATCATAACACAAATAGTTTTGATTTGCTGTTCCCAAATCGAATAAACAATGTAATTGATCTTTGAAACACTCAGTGGCGCACAAAACAGTTAACACTTAAGAAAATACAAACCTTTATCGAACCCTCAACACTTCACTCGGTTGATTGATTATAATCGAAAAGGTATGTTTTTTGAAACACCCTATATTCTAATTGATACAAAAACCAAACATTAGATTAATTCGTACCAGACACTTTACAATTTTTTTTACTTTCAGGTTTCCTATGTCCTCGCTTTTATTGTATTGCTAATAAAATCGTTTTGTTTGATAACCGTAAAAATATTTCAGCAAATTATCTGCAATTAAGCTAATAAATTAATTATTTCAATTCACATTCCACAGCAAAATGCAAAAAATGTGGCATTGTCTTATTAGGGACATCAGAATGTATCTAAACTTGATCAGTGATGCACCATAAAAGGAAGATCTATTATGAAAGGCAAAACTAGGCTCGGCATTGTATTGTCAATGCTAGATAACAGAATAGAATTTCATTATAGCCAACAAATTAAGTATGTTACATTCGTACGTTGGTAAGTTGTTGATAAAAAAAGCAACAAATAACATTGCAAGGAATGAAATGAGCGCATTGTTATAAAAATTATATTCTTGAAACTAACAATTTTGATTTGAATAACAGCAATATAAATTGATAAAAGGGAAACGGCTACTAGCTGCCTTTCAAATTTAGTTCCCCTAAAAGTCGTATTTAGTCGGTATAAATCAAGTTAATGACGCTGCTGGATAAAATTGCAGAAAGATCCGGTCTGCGTTAAAACAATGCACAACAGAGATTATGCAAGAGAGTCATCGATTCGTTCAAGCACGCGATTTTCCATTAAAATTCAAGGGATTTTATTAGCTAGTGGTATATTTCCATTCTTGAAATGTTGTTCCTAAATGATGATTTCAAATTGTGGATTAAACCTGGAATGATAAGCACAGCATCTGCGAAATAACAGGTTATTTCACAATTCTAATAAAATTCTCCCAATTTTTAGGGCAGTGACTAAGGTAATTCCGATCAACAATAAACTAGCAAAATCTATTCGATTTTCCAACTGATCCAAAGCAGATAAATGAATCAAATGGCTGCTAGATAGACATTGGTATTTACTACTTAAAGTTTGGCATTTTTTATCGCAATTTTGATTTTTAAAAATATGTCCCACAATCAAGCTCCAATGGAAAAATCAATGTTATTTTCATAGTTTTTATTAAAAAAGCGAAATTATCCATGTGCCTTGTTGACGAAGAAGTGGTTCCAACGGGAAGTGAAAGGCACTGCTAGAAAGTTTACTGTTTTATATTGAACGTTTGCCCTTAGTTTTAGAACTTCAATCCGCATAAACAATGATCAAAGTAATAAAACGAAGTAAACATCGAAAAAGGTGTTGAATTGCAACAAAACCGGTATGCTTTCAAACGGGTTAAGACAAATAATTGGTGTTACTTTTAATTACATTTAGGGGATCGCTTGCTGATACGGCGGAACAAATACAGAGATAATTGAAAGATATTTAATAAAGCTCTCATTAGAAATTCCTCGTAATAAGAAAAAGAGTTAAGTAAAGAATGTTGACATTCTTTCACTAATTTGTCACTTTTCAGCAGACCATCATGCTAAGTGTAACATTTGGGTTTTTGATGCAACTTACATTAATTGAGTGTTGCTCTAATTATCCACCTAGCTTTAATAATGTTACGCTATTCCATGAAAACGTATATAGCGTTTTAAGCTAAAACTAAAAGCTCCAAAAAGCCGCTTAAATACACAATTCAGTATTTAAAATAATAGAAACAAGTGGTCTTTGAATATATAGATATTGCAACTAATTACTATCAAGTACCGAACGCAATTATACCCAGATATATAGAAAATAGTTCATATTGCATTACTTCAGCATTGTTTATTACATCATCATTGAAAGCTCCACATCATTCGTTACCACATTTTTCAATGGCTAAATCTCAGAAGATTTGTGGATATGGAGATAGTTCGATCTCTGCAGATTGAGTGATCGACAATTATTTTTAAATAATTAATCACTGTACAATTTGTGTAACAATGGATGTAATTTTTCAAATTATCTTGGCTTCAAACCCAAATTCGAGCACAAAAAAAAACAATATTGGCAAATGTTTTTAATTTTCTTTTATATAATGTAACTTGTTATTGGCAAGTTTTTTGCTGATGCTTCCTTTCCTGTGATTTTATTTAAAAAAGTCATTATACATTTAATTTTCTTTTCTTTAGTGTAAAGCTTCTTAAAGCACCGCAATTTTCAATGCACGATTTTGTCAAGGTTGGTTTCTTAAATTTCAGTAAAATGCACATTTTTACTGAAACGTATATGTGCTCGAACTTTCAACGAATCATGGTGTGGGCAAACGGAACGTATTCAATTACGTAATTGATCCCAATAATTGCGATTAAAAAAGAGTAGACAATTGTATACAAAGTACTTACCAACATATACAAAAGTAATTTTGTAATACTTAAAGAGCTCTTTGTAACTTTATTGCTAGATAAATTGTTTAATTTGTGTTTCAGCTTGTAGTGGTTTTAATACTAGAACTAATTAAGGACTTAATGGTTCGCAACTAAGCTTTGATATGGGTCAAATATGCTCCATTTAAAAATACAAATGTTTGATTTGTATACCTACTTAGGACTCGGTGAACAGATTTTGGATGAACCAGAACTCTTGAGCAGGTTCTGGATAGTTTTAGAACCAATTTAAAAGAATCTAGATTTTGAAATTAATTATTCCCAAACCCAGATACTTCCAAAACAGAGAGACTCATTCGAGTTTGGGTACAATTTGCACATATTTAAAAACAAATTGAACGTAAAATAATTTTTTTATATGACTTTTTAGATGACTAGAGGTAACGTGAAAACTGAAAACGTAAAATTTCAAATAATGTTTAGGAATTTATGATCACATTTTTAATACCTTTCCTTAGACCTGCATCGCAAAGCTAAAAATCGCAAATTGGTCCTATTTCTAAGAATACAAAAGGCTGTGCCAAACTACAGTACGTTAAGATGTTTTTTTTGTGGAGTATTTCATATTGATTTTTATTAAGCAAAAAATTTATCGTCTTTATTTTTAGCCACACTGTTTAGTTGTAGCGATTGGTGATGGGTGAATTAAGGTCAAATCGAAAACATTGAAACGCAGCTTGAATATATACGTCTCTATTTAGAACACCCTGTATATATTTCCAAGATAAGGATTACTCATCATTGATATTCGTCAGGAATTCTGCTATATTGCAGTTTCCAATATAATCGGTTGTGATACTTTCGAAATAAAGCAGTTACTAATAAATCAGATAATTAATTATAAAACAGTCTATAACAAATACAAAGCTATATGTTTTACATGGTGACATTTTAGAAACTTGCAATGGATATGTCTCAGAATTGAGGAAATATTGAAAATACCTGGAAGTCGCTTTTTTTATTAAATATGTGCTAAGTACCCTACTCACATTTACCTTTTAGTAGGTTAATAGCTAGATAATTTGAAGAAAGTTTCTTATCTTTTCCCATTCCTCAGGTTTAGTTTAAAATGTGAATCTAATTCCTAATCTATTTAACGGTACACGCGAATATGTTTTCTTCAAATTTGTTTCTCTTGAATGCATTGTTTAAATTTTTACAGCTTTCTAGTTAGTGTTGTAGTAGCAGAACTATAATAATTACCAATATAATTAGCAGCCAGGATTATACTATAGATAATCACAATTGAAGCATGAATAACAAAATCCGACGTAATTGTAGTTGAAAATGTTAAAATAAATGTAATTTAGCACAAACTTCTCACAGACAATGGCAAAGCTACTAGTCAAACCCAAAGAACCATGACGGAAAAGAATGTGAAAAAAAATAGCTGAAACTCTCTTGCTGAATTGCTGGTATTAATACAGTTATATATTAAAGCATCTGAGTAATTCTGATTTGTCACTTTAGTTTAAGACACTTGTAAAGATTATAGGGTTTATAGCTCGCTGTAGAATTGTCGTTCTTTTCCGTTTGTTTCGTCGTTCTTTATCGGCATTTTAAAATTTAATCAATGAAAAATAGTTACTATCAAATAATGAATAATTAAAAATAGATATTCGTCAATAAGCATTTACCCTTCAAGTGACGACTCGATTAAAGATCCCACGCAACTCTCATAAATGTCTTCCTGATGCGATTCCGTATCAAAAACGTAATTATAAGTGAAGGCTTTATCATTGCCAAGTGTAACCTGGGGCTCCCCTGGTGTTACGGCAGTACACATTTGGCACATGTCGATAATTTCACGTGAAGTTTGGGGCCGAATCCTGAAATAAAAAAAATAATTAAATAAATTAAATATAAAAACAGGTTGTGAGTGGATTTATGAGCTGTTTCTTAGAGATTACAAACATATTGTCAATTATAGTAATTAACGGCATAGTTCAAGCTCGCAGAGACCCCATAACATGTATTCCAACTGTTGTTGAATTTGATACCAGATGGACGAGATGCCACAAGTTCCTATAATGTTTTATTAATACATTATACAAAAATGATGAGTTGCCCGTTTACTGTTTTTGTCTAATAAATAGCGCATGCATTTAAGCATGAAATTTGATCTCCACACCTTACAAATGTGTATTTGAAGAAACCAACGTTAAAATCTACGTGTTTTAAGGATATTGTGTGCGTAACCATATATATGAATGATAGACCTGATAGACGAGTCGCTTGAAGTTCCATGGACATGACTAAAATTTACATTTTATTGAAATTGGCCGGACCGGTAGGTCTCAGTTATATTCAACAGAAAAAGGGTCTGGACGTTTTTTAAATGTAATATATTATTTCCTTTTAACTCTGTTCTGTATTTAACTCATATCCTGTGCTATAATAACACATGTATTTAATATTTATAGTGTAGTCACGATTTCAAACGCGGTAATCTTATGTGTTTATTAATGCTTCACTTAATATAATTAAAATCATATTTAGTGTCTTCCCCGATCAATTTGGACAGTCTACGTTGGTTTCGGATTTTGTAATCGAGAATATATTATTGTGGAGGATCCCATAATACTATTTCTCCAATCATTAAGCGGTCAGGAAATCATCTAAATTATTCAAATGCAATTTCGAATATCCGGTATCCATTCTAAAACAACTTTATTAATCGTAACGTTTTTATTTATAAGAGAGGCAAATACAAAGATTTACTATATGTTTAGACCCTGCAAGTTATGACTTAAATCCTTAATTATATTAGCATTTTCATGAAAGGCTCATGAGTCCACACGTTTTGAAAACTCGTTTTAGTTCATATGCAGCAATTTTGTTCACAATCCACGAGTGGGCAACGGTGGGCGATTTAGAACACTTCGAAAGCCTAGAATTTTAATTAGATGCATTCACAATTTTACAAATTCTATTTAGTGGTCGATAGTTAATGAACGCATGGAATCAAAAAACTACAAACTCGCTAATTCTTTGTATTATGTACTTAGCGCTACTAACTAATCCCTGCGTGTTTTAAATAGTCTAGCATGTATCCTTCTCAGAGAGTGGACCAGTTCATACAATCTATTTCAGTAAATTGACACACCACAATCACACCTGAGTTTTTTACGAAAATATATGAAAGATTAACAAAGAAAACCTGTTCCTCTCCGCCTTAAATAGAAATGACCACCTTTAAAATATGACACAATCTTTAATTTCTGTTGGCTGTGGAATTGTTTAATTTCATAAGGAACATTCAACAATAGCTTCATTAAATATTTGAACTAAAGAAAATTTCATACTGCTGCAACTACATGTGGCGTAAATTAAATACAATTAACGATATATACTTATGGATTAATATAAATATTAAATATTATTTGAAGTGGCCATTGATGATATACTACGAGTATTTCAAGTTGCAATAAACAAACAGAGGCACAATTTGAAATTAAATCAATTGAAATTTGAAGAACAGCCAAAAGGCATAAGTAATAGGAACAAAAAGAGCCTGGAAATATTCGACTCACATTTTCTTTATAGCGATTTCCCTTATTACTCAATATTACTCTATCCAGCAAAGGCGAATAAATCAAATGATAAATTCTATTAGATTAGCGAAATTCTGTACATTTTAACAATTTATTATTGTTAATAAAATTTTTAACATAAAATGACTAAATAATAATAAGTACCTAATAACGTTATGACAATTAAATCTAGCTAATTAAGCGTTCCCTTGGTACTTTCATAGTACAGTTATAAAAGATCCACTAAGATTGAAATAAGTTTTTCCAGATATCCATTTAAAACGCCCAAAAATATCAATTGGGTAATGAATATGATAAATATCTCGCACAAGATAACTGTTCTTTTACGCTCTAATTACGAGAAAGAATTGTCCCATTCAAGAAAAAATTTCATGATTCATTAGGTTATTACAGTTAAATCCGGATAAGAAGTATTATGGATATATAGGAGATGGAGAGAGGGATACTATACAGATATAGTAAGTCTTATCCCTTATTCAAGCCGTTATTGATTTATTGACTATTGAGTGATTTGAAAGGAAATTTCAAATTTGATTCGTTCTTTTCAAATCATGTAATTTATAAAGTACTTTATTGTTATTAAATTTACATAAGAAAGTGAAATTCATTGTGTTTGGCTTTTGCTGGAAAATTAGTTTTATAAATAAATTCATAATTTCACCCACTATTAATTAAACCAATATATTAATAAACGATTTTAGCCTCTTAAGTAGGAATTATCGACATTGACGACCCAAATATTAATAAAGTGTTTTCAATAGTGGGGAACTTTCAAGATTGGCTTTCGAGGCTTATACAAAGCGGCTTCCTATATATAAGTAACCAACAACAATTAGAAATATGGCCACTATAAGGCGTTTTAAGTGCCAAATGAATAAAACTAACAGTCAAAATTTTCTTTTCGGAAATTATTTCCCGTTTGAGTCGATATAAGTCGGAATTAAATTCATCTGCCAATATAATGAACCAGAAAGAACAATACAAAACAGATTTCTATAATTAGTAGTTGTGCAGAGAATTAAAGAAATAACTTTATGGCTTGAATGTTTAAGTAACTACTAAGGCATTTTTAGGAAAATAATTGAATGAAACTCAAAACTACTATCCTGCCACTACTGCATTACTATCGTTGACTTTCGTACTAATATTTAATAAATATATGTACCTTTATAAATATTTTTTGATTGCTTCATGTTTTTACGACGGACAGCATTAAGGCGTAAGTATTGCATGCAAATAACACTTATAAAAGTGAAATGTAGCCTTTATGTATTATGTATGTATGAAAATGTATTTAAATTATATAAACAAACGCATAGACGTTTTAAAGTTTCAAGTATTTTTCGGTGATATCCG